CACGGTCTGGAAGAAAAGTGAATCTAGGTGACACTTGATCCTACAAGGTGAAAAATGACCTGATTACCTCAGCCACAACAGAGACATAATTGGGATGCAGATGAGCATGAGTTACAGGCAAGAATTTGGAGAAGAACCTGATCCGGAGCAAGCATGCTGAAAAGCTGGGGGAGGGTGGGAGAGTGTGCCTGGCTAATCTCCTTATTTCAGTCCGGAAAACATTGATCTAAAGCGAGGCGAAGGGGGGGAGGAACAGAGAGATCAGGCTGGAAGGTTTTAGGGAAGAAGAGAAAGTCATGTCAAGGGTACAGATAGCTGCAGCTGAACGTCTTAAGTGCCCCCATCACCAAAACGGCAGCATAAATCATAATGAGGGACTATTACATTTAGCAAAAGTGGATGAATTATCTTACATGGATAATTGGCCATTATACAAATGGTATTAGTTATGGGTTGTTAAGTTACATTATGTAATTTCAAGTCAGGCTTTAATGTTTTCCTTAATCTTTGCAATTACAGATGAGAAATCAGCAACATTACAGGAAAATTTGACTTTTTCAGAACTAAAAAGGAAGCACTCAAAACTAAGTGCTATCTTGGAGTCAAGAAATTAGCCTTTTTTAGTAAATCGGGATCATTGTAAATATATTCCTCAGTGTTAAAAATGCAGTTGTTCCCCTTCTCCCTGTAAGAAAACGCAGACAAGCTTTCTTCTCTCATGACAGACACTGCTTCACGTCAACAAATCTGCTGTATTTTTCAATTTCAGGTCAGAATCAACTCCTGGGAGCGACTAATGCAAAATATGTCCCAATTCTGAGACTCTTCTTGTTGCGGTGCATCAGAGCACATCTGCACGTCAGCTAATTCTTCCCGACTGGTGATTCTAAAATAGGGCAAATTCCCGATGTCTGATACAGAGACTGAACATAAGAGCTTTTTCAAAAAGTTTGATGAACAAAGATTCATAATGGAGATACTGTATCTTGTACTTTTTGTTTTACAGCATCATGTATTTGTGTTTGTGCGGTGATTTCCATCTACTGCAATACAGACAAGACAGTCAAGTCGATGAAGTGTGTGCGTTATAATCCCAAAGCTCTTGTCTGTGCTGGGTAATAAGTTTTCCCACAATCCTTTGTGCAGCTCTGTTGGGAGCCAAGCAGGCACAATACACAGGAGTCATTTAAAGGAAAATTAATGTTTTTATTTCACCTAAATCAAGAAATAATAAACCTGTAAGAGTGTTCAATTTAACATGACTCAGATTAAAGCTCCTATAAGGTGTTTTTTAGGTTTGTCAAATAGACTGAAATTCATAATATTGGCTTTTAATGGCATCCAAATGAAGACCACCAGGATGAAGAGTGATGATTGAGTGCAAAGGGGTAGGCGTCAGCTGAGCGGCTAAAGAAGTAGCTTTGTTTTATAACGGACTGGAAAGTTCCTTACAGAGCTTTAACGACACAAAATATAAGGAGTGATCCAAACGAACAGACCAAAGCAAACCATGATTCTTGCGCCATGATTCCTCGTGCACCATTTCAAATGAAATAAAGGAATCCTAAGTGGGGTTAAAAGCCACTCTGATTTAAGGAAAACTTAAGGGCCTGTGTCCACTGACACCGTTTTTGCACTATTTTCTGTGTGAAGCCAATGCGGTTAAGCTTTTTCAGTAGAGGTGTCTGAAGCACAAAAACACCCTCTGTGTCAACTGTTAATGTTGCCGGACTTAAAATGCTCGATTGTTTATTTTTTTTAAATTAACCAATCAAAACCAAGATGGGGCGGGACTCCTAAAATTGACCACATCTGCTGATAACAGTCAGTACAGAGTATAGCTTGATCAGGTGACTTAACAGGGCTACTGACTGTGTCCCAGTCTACAAGCACCATGTGGGATCAGTTTATTAACAGAAAAGTTTACTATATTGAAGATGGTAACATGCCCTTATTTCAGCTTGTTGTTATTGGGCCATTTCCTAGTTGATCCATCGTGGAAACAGGCCCTTAATACTGATACTTTCCTTAGCGGGGAAGTATTGGAATTTTATCCAATCAGATCTATTTCAATAACCAATGCAGCCGCCTCCTGTTGGCGAAGATAAATATGACAAAAAAAAACAACACCAGACTACAAACACTGTAACGCGCTGTCAAAATGTCAAACTGAATGATCTGGAAGGTTAAAGGAGTGCAATACAGTTTGGGAGAAATGGCAACACCTGACCCTCTGGAAATAAAAGAATCGACAGTCAAGTCAAGTCAAAAAAAAAAAATCAAAGAGGAATTTCCTGAAAGTCCACCACGCCGGAGCTGAGGATGAAGTTTTTGAAAGATTGAAAGAACATCGAAAAAGACACTGCAAGGAGTACGTCAAAGGCAAAGGCACCACTGCACAAACATCCTCTTTCCATGTACTGGTGAGCAGAGCTGTCAGAGCTGCCAACGCAAAAACACAGAGCTGTAACAATGAGAGATTGTTGTGTTGTCCCAACAGCAGGCCTGAGAGCTGGAAAGGGCATAAAATCTGAGCTATTACAGAAATCATCCACTCATTTTCAAAGGAGACTGTTTTTTTATTTATCAGTGACTTTATTTTTTAAAAGGTTGCTGGAGAACTTTGGACATTTATTCCATTTCATTTATCAGAAAGTTTTATGCAGACTAAATGGGTATGTCGGATAACTCTGCGGGAGTAAAACTGATTGATGACCTGCAATACTAAATGAGCTGCCCGCTAAATGCGTCTTAATGCAAGTTTTACAGTAATCGATTTGATGTTATGCTTGGAAGTGCCTCCACGGATCTCCAGCCTCCATCAGCAAGAAAGAGAGAGAGAGAGAGACATTGTAATAAGAAAAACTGATTATTTCACATCTACCTCAGCTGCTGTAAAAAGATACAGCCTGTCCGTAGTGTGGGTTCGAAAAAATAAGTATCTTATAACATCTGAACGCAGCTTGATGCAGGACAAAAGGCCATTGCAGTCACATTCTCACCATAAAGAACTTTGTTCTCCCATCAGCTGGTGGGACAGTCCATTCTGGGAACATGGCCAAAGGCAGAAATAACTCATGGATGTATCTGACCGAGAGTCTCCATGCAGCTCTTTACATTTGGCAAAGAACCGAGCATTTAAAGAACAGCACGGCCTGATAGGATTACACCACAAAATGGCTTTTAAAGGTTAATGTGAACAGGCGTTCGAGCCAGGTACGGTGGAGGAGAGTGACTTCTGCTCTGATAATTATCAGCCATTCACACATTCCTTTCTAGTGAGCTCAGAGTTTGCAGCGCGGCCTTGGGGTGCACTATGGCAGCTTCCTTCTCATTTCCATCCCAAAAGGGCCTAATGAACGGTCACTGTTAGAGGGCCGCTGATCTGGCTGGAATACACAAAGAGGAAACGACGGAAACGCTGCAGCCAATTTTCTCTGATTGAAGAATTTGGGACATTTGACGGTTTTTAAACATTGTTCCTGAAATTTGTTCAACATAAATTATCCTCCACTGTGAGACATACCTGGTTCTGATTGGTCAAAACTCCATGACAAATCAATATGCGGAAAGGAACTCTGGCACATTTCACTTCTGTGGCAAAAATGTTAGTTTCAGTCTCAGACTGTGTTTTAAAATTTGAGAAATTATCCCTCCAAGTGTCCAGATCTTGCCTACCATAACTAGCACAAGCACCCACTAACTATACATGGATCTACCATGAACAAACGTTATGCTGTACTTGGACATTAAAGGGATATTCCAGCTTAAAATTATTTTAGGGTCATACGCACTAACACTGAGTTAGATACCCCCCCTCGAGAGATGGATGCTGCCGACTGCTTGCTTCTCTAGTTATATCAACTTTAGTAACAACCGCACGATAGCAATACACAGCAGTCTGAGGAGCCATCAACAAATGTCAACCAAAACACCACTCTATAACCACAAATAATGCTCAGAACAGCACCTAACTTCATCAACAGTACATATTAGGTCCTAGCCATAGTACTAGCCACCAAACATCTTTTTAACTTTGCCTAATTTCTTTAGCAAAGAGACTAAACACAACTCACCTACTCTCTTCCAGCAGCTGCTTGTTTGTAGTGAGACCTCAGGCCAGTCCATTATGGACTGCTGCGGGGTGACACATAATTTAAAAATATAACATTCCCATGTCTTCTCTCCTTAATATAACATCAAATTAAAGTCAATTAAATATCATTTTAAATAATATAAATTACTTTTATGCTGATGAGGGTGAGGTTTTTGGCCTATTGCTGTACGTATACGGGACTTTAAATTTGTAAAATATTGGCAAAATGTTAAAATTTTCACATTTACATATTGTTTTAAGTATGATCTTATTGTTAAACAGGGTTTTTGGCAATAATATATATTTGTCATTATAAATATTTACCAATTTATCGGCATCCCCTGATTTCATGTCAACCCTGTTACCCTAACTAAAAAACCCTAAAAAAAATGGAATATTCCAGATTTGACATGAGTGACGGGAGGTTGCATCATCTCTGAGCCAGGATGCTAACAGCTCAGTGACAATTCAGTTTCTCTTATCTCTGATGTTTTTTAAAGGTTTTAACCAGGGGGGACAAGCATACAACGTCAACCCTGTTACCACTTTTTAACATATAAACCAAAACAACTTTTTATTTCTCATATCTACAAGTAATTACCTTTCAAAGTACCTAGTTTGCCCTTCAGATAAAATGATGCACGTTTCTATTGTAAATGTTCTCAAAAGTTGTTTACAAAGATGATTTAAAAGCAGCCTCAAATTGAAAATATAGGTCAATTTCTGTCTTTTGTTGCTCTAAAGGTAAAAAATTACAGACTCTTTGTAATGAAAGCTTGTGTTTCATTTATATTCAGACTTTCTGTGTCATGTTGTGTCATTCTGACCCAGACCCCGCCTCCCACAGTGGAGTCTGAGGGGCCCCCATGCTGGCAGCCTGTATCTTTAAGGAGCCATGTAAAGAGGGCGTGTTCAAACACACTACCGAGGCAGCAGGAGGCATTGTAGTGAGTTATTACACTCCAGAGCAGCAGCAGCACCGCTTCTGAGGATGCGGTGACAGCAGCGGCGACATTTCTTTTCCTTTAAAAGAAGAGATCTGTGTGTATCTGTTCCGTTTGGATATCCCAGAGTTGATCTGAGCGCTTTACGCCTCCTTCCCTTTTGATGAATGCACTCTCATTGTCAACCTGCTGGGGGCCTTAAAGTGAAGCAGCACCCGGCTTTATGAATGGAGATGCTCGGTAAGTGTGTGTGTGTGTTTCATTGTTTACACTCGCACTTTTTACTCCAGCAAATAAAACTGTAGCATTTGCATTTGTTTGTACGGCACAGATGTGTATTTTAACAGACGGAGCGGCTTTATTCAGCGGATCAGCAGAGCGCACCGTGCGCAAGGCAGCTGACTCTTTTGTGGTCAGCTACTTATTGTTCTGCTGCCATTGACCCACCCAGGATCACAGCTTTATTGTACTGTGATCGAGTCAGCAGACAGTGATAAATGCAAAAGTAGATTGAGTGCTTTTTAAATGGACTCTGTAAGGACGTATTTTTTACGCTTTGGGGCGTTTCTTGTTGTCGCGAGAATTGAGCTTATTTGTCTGCAGCCCCCCAAGCGACAGCAATCATATCTGTGTTTAATTTGAGTTTGTTTCTCAGAGGCTTAGGCGAGTGCATTGGTTTCTCTCTGTTTACTACACAGTGAAATTGTCTTGGGTCTCCAGAGATGAGAAGTTGAGTTTTAAAAAACTCCTAAAAGGCTTAAAATTGGATAAATTTCTGCTTCTAAACTTGTTGGAGAGCGTTTGACTTGCTCTTTTAAAAGGCAGTTAAGAAGTTGAACTTTGCACATATCGACTCGCTGCTGGTCACAAATCTAACACGATCAGATGACTAAACAAAATTCGTCCACTGCACACTTTCTGCCCCAGCATGCACTGCAAGCCTGTGTTGTTTGTCCACTTCATTACCTATTATTTCCAGGGTCTGTTGACTTGGCAGTGCGGCTCAATTTGCTTGGCATTGGTGTCACAGTGGCATCTGAAAGCTCACCGACCTGGATAATAGGACGGTGAAGGGGCCTCAGGTCTGTCGGCCATCACTCCATCAACGCCATGCTGAAAAGAACTCCTCAGCAATTGTTTGAGGAGATAATGTTATCACAGCCTGCTGCTCGGGAGGCAAATTGGGTGGCTTTCTTTGTTTTAGCCTGTTTAAATGTGACATTTGACCTGCCTTATCCGAAAACACGCAGAGGGCTTTGTGAGATGTCAGCCCGCTCTGCCTGGACTTGGTGATGGATTCAAGTTGATGACACAGCAAACAAGCAGGACTCATCGCCAAAATGGATGTGTCACAGGCTTAGCCCGTGGACTTATTCACCCAGGAGGGCCTCGGGAAAACAGACGACACATTTTTTAAACCAGCCTGCACAGGCTCTGCCTCCTTCGCCGTCTTTTCTAATTCTTAAATTACAAAGTATCTAATTGCCTGCAGGAGACATGTGTTTAGTGCCTGAAGGTGAAAGTTATCCGCCCTCTGTGCTGTGTTCAACACTGTGCCAAACACTGTCATTGGGCACAGTAGAGTGCACATTGCTGGAGCGTGGCCTTACCGGCTCAGAATTACGTTTGCAGAAGTAAACAGAGGGTTGCTGCACCGTATACTTTCTATTTACAGACAAATCAGAAACTCTGAGACCTCCTGTGGTGGCGCAGAGGTTCGAGAATTAGCCAGTTTGTGGCTGGTGAGTGTGTATAAGTCCAGCGTCCTGTGTTTGAACATGTCTGCACAGTGTGTGTGTGTGTGTGTGTGTGTGTGTGTGTGTCCTGTTCTGTCCAGCCCCTTCACATTCCAGGAAATACCGATATAAACTGTTATTTTTTTTCCTGGAATGCCGCTGAGGATGCAGATAGTAAACTCCAGGATTATTATAGAGGACGTGACAGCTCCTCATGAAGGATGTGCAGCATAAGTAGCACGTTATTGCTTTTACCACAGGCCTGCAGATGCTAACTCGGTTGCAAACTCTTCCTCCTTTTTGTGTGTGTTTGCTGGATTTTCTCACAGCAGTTTATTTGTACACTAAGTGCCACCTACCTTTTTTGTGACCTTGTCCTGACATCTCGTTCTGAGAGCGTCTCAAGTCTCAGTGTGTGAATGCCGTGTTTGTTCCTGTGTCGCTTGTTTGGTGGCATTGTTTTCTGGTCGTATCCAGCATGCTGCATTGTGACTCTACGAGGCCGGGGTTGGTGGTTTGAGCCAGAGGAAATGTTTATTCTTCTCTACCATCCTGTTCCCTTGTCAATAGTTGTAAATATTGGATGGTGTTGACATCAGGATAGCAGCAGACTAAGACATTCGTCTGGAATCTAAAACCTCAGAAATCCAGTGTAACCTGAACCCAACATTTCTTGCTATTTCACCCATTTATTTTGTACTTTAAGCACTTTTTATTTCCACTTTAGAAGTCAGGCTTTTGTCACACAGAAGTCAAGTGATTTTCTTTATTGTCGGAAGAATAAAATCTGACAAAAAGAGCCCTTCTCTGTTTGATAGCTACTTCTCTGGCTTGTCTCCAGCCTGTGAAATTTTGTAGCTTTTCTGCTCTTCTGACCCTGTAATTATAGCACTCTCGCACTTTAAAGCATGATTCTCTGCATCCCATAATTTCCCTGCATTCTTTCCATTGAGGAGCGCAGGTTTCCACTCGAGGGTTTTCAAAAAAAAAAATGTAACCTCACTTGTCTTCTGCCGCGTTTAAGAGTCACTTGACCGGTCTGTGCCAGTCTGCCAGCTTTGTCTCGTCTTTCTGAAGCAGTTGGAAAATAATTTATTTACCAGAATCCAGAATGATACGAACGTGTCCCCTTTTGTGCTGTTGTTGTTGTTGGACGCACAGTCCCAGCTCCGGCCCCACAGCCCCTGCAGGTTATTAAAGCTGTGTGTTGATGGAGATATGGCCTGTTTGTTTGCTGCGCCCATCAGTAATACAGTATGATGGAGGACAGCTTTGTTTACATTATGAGCGGCCCAGGAAGGGGCAGGCAGAGGAGATTTCCGGAGAGATGGGAGGGTTTGCTGCGTTATTTTCTCCCGGCCCTTCCTGTAGACATACCCCCAAACACGATAACGCCTTTTCTCTGTGAAATATTCGCATCATGTGTGGCCCTTACCAGTACTTATCTCAGCTCTTCTAATTAACCACATTCTTCTGATTCTGAGCGTACGTATGTGGTTTACACCGAGTCATCTCACGGAGGGTTAACGACGACCTGGAGCTGGTTGTTGACCTCGCACATCCAGCTGGACGAGAATGAAAGCGGCTGGGAACGGTTCCTGCAATGTGTCATTACCGCGAGAGCAATACAAAATATTGCAAAGTGGTTATTTCTGGCACGCTCTCCTGTTGATATTGCCAGTGTCAACTCACTTTCTGCTCGTTCTCTGTGATTATAAGACACTTTCAAAGCTTGGAGCGGAGCCAGTTTCTCCCACCATCCATTTGTTTTTAGATGCCATGCCCGGCGCACAGATGACGCCGAGTCTGATCCATGTTGGCTGCAGGTTCCTCATGCATGCTTGCTGCTTTTATTCAGATCAGAGACGGTGGTGTATTAGGCGACGTGGATTATATAAAGAGATGTTTATCCGTCTTGTTTAGCCCACAGAATACTTCACTGTCTTCGAGTGGATACAACACTTTCCCCCCGCTATCGCCTCCGTCCACCGTTTAAGTCTGTTACAATAAAAGCCGCCGGCTCAATCAAAGGCGGACGACAGAGAGGGAGAAAAGAGAGATGGAGTGTCGTGTCTGGAGGCTGCGTTGGCTGTAAATGTGAAAGAGACAAGTCATCTCCTCTCGGGTAGCAGAGGTCAGCTGGTACACGTTGAGCTGACTGGCTGCAGGCCTTTTCTCTGCCAGGAAGCTTTTCATTGGCTGTCATGGCTTGTTTGAAAGCTACAGCGTCTGCTCTTCTGTGCTGACCTGGTCATCATTCGTCCATCAATTTAAACCCCCTCCTGCCAGCCTTTCTCATCTGTGCCTTGCAACCTTTATCGCCGGCACATTAATAATTATGACGCTGCTTTCAATTTGAAGAGGTTGCCGCATTTCCCCGACTGCCGCGTCTCTTTTATTTTAGGGCGTCTGCGGCCTTTACACTTCATTTACAAGTGTACTGAGTGTTATTTTTAAACACTGCCGAGTTCTTGTAAGTTTATTCTCCCTGCTCCAGCCGCTTACTGATCTAAGGATAGCTACCGATTTAGTAGTCAGTTGATATGAATGCCAATTCAAAAGCCCACAGGCACTTTTATTAGCAGGAAGGCTCTAAAAAGCAGTCATGCTTTGATCCTTACCGAGCAAGACATCCTGCTGCGTGAGGTGTGATATTAGCATAACAGACCGCCCAACACCAACATGACAGGTATGAGCGGGGACGGCGGAAACAGCACCGTGTGAGGGCTTTTACTCATTTCCCTCTGATTAGGAATGTCTCCCTCGATTTGTTTGTTTTATTCTTGGCAGCAGTTTTGACTCGAATATTTGTGTGTGTTTCCTAAAATGTTTTTGTTGGGCTGCAGCTGAATATTACTCTCATTATTTCCTCCTCTAACATACCATGTTATAAGTTCCTGAGGTTGCAAATAAGGAAAAAACCAAATGGTGCAGCTTTATCCACCTTGTCCTGTCTGATTAACAGTGAAAAAAGGTATATTTAAAGCATGTAAAGGAGACATGCCAGTCTGGGAAACCTAGTGCCAAGTATGTTTGCAGTTTTTTAAGCCTCTGCCTGAAATGCTTCATTTTGGCTGATTTTCCACAGAGATACAATGGGACACAGTTTGGGGGTGCTACTTTTCACACAGCCGTGTAGTCATGAACTGACCCCTGATGTGGCTGTGATTGTTGCATTTAAAGTAAACATGTCGGCTATTGCTTGCTGTAGTAATGTTACTCCTGAGTCTGCAGCTCTTTGTAGATACAGCTCCTGGTTCCAGTAACAATTGAAATGTAAATCCAGCTCACCGTGGAGTCTTCAGCCAAGTGGGGAGGACAAACAGCAAAAAAAAAACTGTTTTTCTGACACATATGTCTCTAGAAAGTGAATATAACTGCGACTTTCCTTCACAATGAAAATAACACTTGTATGTAGATGTAGAGAAGGGGAAAAAGTAGAGCATGGGAACGGACTTCTCAAGGTGGAGCTACTGGACACTTGAAAGTTTTTCCAAAAAGACGACAAAGCTCGACTTCAAGCTCAGACTAAAGTCCCGCAAAGTTCTTGGAACAAGCTGTTCAGAGAAGCCGGAAAACACATCTGGGGTGGATGCCAACATTCGTGCATCTTACCTCTTCAAACTTTGCCAAGGTTCAGTGAGGACATTTACTGCTGTAGCATTTTAAGTAAGCATAAAAACACAGATTGGCATCATGGGTCTGCTTCAGAACAAAAGAAAAGACCAAGTATCTCACCGCAGACAAACTGGCACTCTTCTGTTTGACCTTTCCGGTTGATTTATGTCAATGGTTTAAGCTCTAAATCTATTAAATGTGATGAGAATTGTGGGTCACGATAAAATTGAGAGACACAGACGTAAACACAGGCCAGGTTTTGGGTCTGAACAGCGTCTCTGTTACCGTGGCCTGCATTTCCCAATCATTTCCAGCACGCCACTGTAACAGATTTGGGATTTACCTTGCTTTTCAGACCACAGCGGATTTACACTTTGATCCAAAACGAGCCCTCGGCCCCTCTTGCTGTACTGGCACAGCGTGGGGAAGAGAGGCGTTGCAAATGGGTGCTGGGGCAAGAGGGCACATGGAGACACCCTGTGGGTTCAAAACAACTTGAGCTGAATCCACAAGACCACAAGCAAATGGCACAATGCTCCCAGTGGCCTACATGGGCCTTTTGAAGCAAACCTGGCTTTCTATGCAAGTAGGAGGTCTTTATGCTAAATTGTAAGAGCAGCGTGTTTTCTTGTTGCTGTATTCACCTCAAATGGCAGTGTCAGCTTGATGTCTGTTGGTCCCGTCTGTGTGATTGTGAGATAATGTGATTTCCGTTGTTTGTCCTCAGGCTGCTCCGTCCTAAATGAGATATTAAGCCGGCTAACTGAGTTGCATGACAGATACCTATCTCGCAGAGGCCATTTGTCTGCCTAATTACTGGAGCATGTGTGTGCGTGTGAGTGTGTGCTTGCGCTTAAACACGTGGGAATGAATGAGTTTCCAGTAACGAATGTTTGCAAATGGTTCGCGTGTTTTCTGCAGGCGGGGCTGTTTAAGTTGTCAATACCAGAGAGGAAACCGGCAATTTGCAGTCTCTGTTTTTCACACACATTTTAGGTTGCATGTGACCTCCCTCCTCCCCCCAAAACGTCATTTCACCCTTAGGTCATGCAGTCGTCCATCCAGGTCAGTGACTCCAAATGAAGCAGACAGAGTCCCCCCGCTTCGACATGGCAGCGGCAGCAGCCCTCTCCCAGACCGTAGAATACACACTGGACAAATTAAGCACAAAGAAGCCGCATCAATACTCAATTAGGGAAATGGACCATTAGTCATGTTGGAGTCTGTGTGTGTTTGAGTGTGTGTGTGTTAGTGTTGACTAGCTTAGTGTGAGGGAAGTGAAAAGCTTTGTCTTGCTTGAACACTAATTATTGAGGAGGTCGATATTTCTTATTAATGTTAAAGAGGACACTTGAGCTGTTTCACACATTCACTCTTAAAAAAGTCTGGAAAATTTCAGGAGAGTTTTCTCTTTGCACATGTCCTCTTTCTGCTTGCAAAGAAGGTAATGTTTCACAGACTTAAGATTAAAACCACTGATCCTTCAATTTTACTCTCCCATATGTTTTTATTTACTTTCTGTCTGGTTTTCCTATTTTTGCTCCCCTCCCGACCCCCGGCATATGTCTGTTGGCTGTCAACGATGGCAGCGAAGTATATTTTTAAAAAAGTTGGCAGATGGAGACAGAGTTAACTGTCTAACAACAGTTTTAACCTTTATATCCAAGCAATTAAGTGAATCTACAGAGTAAACAAATGACAGAAAAAGAACTCACTGTAGAAAGACAGTTTCAATATGGGAAGAATTTTTTCCCCATCGTTTACCTCTAAATCCTCTGGATTCACAGGTGTTCAATTTAGAAGTGTTTCCTATTGAGAAGTGCATTTAAACAGCTTAATCTTTATCTATATTGAATTTCCCTTCTGAGATCAATTAAGTTCTTCTTCTTTTTCTTCCACTACTTCGACTACTTCTACTTCTTTTCTTCTTCTTCTTCTACTTCTACTTCTTTTCTCTTTGTTTTCTTCTACCTCTTCCACTTCCACTTCTTCTTCTACTTCCTCTTCTTCTACTTCTTTGCTCTTTGTCTTCTTCTATGTTTTGTACTTCTACTTCTTCTACTTTTACTTCTACTTCCACTTCTTCTTCTTCTTCTTCTTCTTCTTCTTCTTCTTCTTCCACCTCTTCTTCTTCTTCCACTACTTTTACTTGTACTTCCACTACTTCTAGTTTAACTTCTACTTACACTTCTACTTCTGCTCTTCTTCTTCTTCTTCTTTCATTAATTCTTCTTTCATTACTTCTTTTACTTCTACTTGTACTAGTACTTCTACTTCCATTCTTCTTCTTCTTTTTCTTCTTTCATTACTTCTTTTACTTCCTCTTCTTGTACTTCTACTTGTACTTCTACTTACACTTCTTCTGCCAATAGTAGTGCAAAAAACTGACAGCTTTTGCTATAGTTTCGAACCATAATAGCGTTTTTAAACAAGGTAGCAAACTTAGACAGAACACTTGCCACATGGTACAGATGTAATTATCCATCTGCTTACACAAGCTCATCCTGACACAACGTTCAAATCATACTGGGATGATGGTTGGAGATGTTTGGGTTGAAGTCTGGATGACACATGTGGCTATTTGTGTTCACACGTGTAGCTCACCTGGTTAATCTCAGACAATTTTAATGGACTTTTGATAAAACCTTTGTCATGCTCACAAACATCACCAATAGGAGTTGACTGATGAATAAGCATTATTTGCAAGCAATACATACTGGCGGTAAGAATGAAAAACTCCCTGTTGAAGTTTAAAACACAAAAACTGTTTGATTGTCTTTAGAAAATGTTCAATTAAAACAGGAACTTCATAGACAAGATAAGAGTTAATAGTGCAGTAGGTGAAGCAGAGTCGAGAGTAAAAACAGACCCAGAGGGAAAGACACACCAGCACTCGAGCCACGGTAACACACTTCTTTAATTAATCAGTGAACTTTTTAACCATCTGTAATATTAAAGGAGGATAACAGTAATCGGCCAATTGCCAAATATCAGCCAAGGCAAAAAATTCAATCAACTCCCACTCACGGATTCATTTTTCTACTTCTTTTTTTCCTCATAGCTGATTTTTAAAACCTTGTATTTAAAGTGACTTTTGAGGCCATGCTTAATCTCAATTCCCTTCCACTTATCAAGCATCTTTCTGCACTGTTAAGAAATGACTGCGACGTCTACAAAATTCTCCCAGGTGAATTCACCAGGTTACCGTCTGATTTAGTGCACCTTTTTTCACTCCTTTCTGTTAAAGGGACCCTTTTTCTATTTATCTCCCTCCTACGATATTTCTGTGCTTTTCCCTCCGAGGAATTGGGTGTGTATTTTCTCCCCGCAAAGTGGTGGCTATAACCATATAATATTTAAGCAGATTTAGAATCCTCCCTAGACCCAGCAGGCCTAGGTATTTATATTGATAATTGGGTTACGGGATCTATAAACAGAGCTCACTTTACATTCCCATGACATAAATACATTTGGGGGGAAATGAGTTTGAATATCAGTTACCCAAAAAAGATGTAAAAAAGATTAGAGAAGTTAGGCGGCGTTGGTTTAGAAATGTCCCCACTGTGCTCAAGTTTATCATAATGCGCACACACACGTGCACACACACTGCTGCTTTAACTCAGACCTGAGAAATACCACATTGGGACTCGTCAGTCACCTTAAAACTCGCATACCACTGCAAGGGCTCAAGGTCTGCAGGTCAGAGAGCGGTGTCAGCGTGTGTTGGTTTTCGAGCAGCCTGTAAAACGAGTCAGACTTCAGTGTTGAAATGAAATGATGCAGATGTGCCTCGCTCTCTCTTCCTGTCTGTTTTTGTCCCACATTCTGCATCTCCTCTGCAGCCAGACCCCGAGTGTTGTGAAAGTCTGTTTATAAAGTCAAACCCCCCCCCTACTGGGACCCCGTAGTTCCCACGCTAACGGCTGCCTTCTCAGGCCCTTTTCCACTTTTTCATTTCACGTGTACACCCACACATGCGCGCACGTACGCTCGCACAAAGCTACACAAAGCTATAAATAAAGCACGGGGCTGTGAATCGGATTTTGATGTAGTTGCTAAAGGCTTGTGCTTGTGCAGAGCTTTTTGGATCTGATTTAGATTCGGCAGATGAAGAAGCCATATCCTTGCAACGGGGCACTATTGAGCTTTTCAGCTTGATCTTGGCCTGGGGGCGTTGGGAAGGGGGTGAGACAGGGGAGTAGGAGGGAGGCTTTCACCATCTCCCCTTGTTCCATCCCCTGGTTGTTTTTCTTTATCTGTTTATGCCACCCAGAAGCAACGAGCCAGAAAAAAAAAAAACTGGCTGGGTGTGAATTATGTCCCCCTCATTATTTTCCCCAGAAAACAGATTAGAACATGCAGCTTCAATAATAAGCATGCGAGCAAAAAAAAAAGTCACTTTGTTTGTGTGTTTTGGCTGAAAAGCGTTGAGAGTTCATGGAAAGTTTTCACATCATGTGAAAAATGCCCCAATCTTGTTCCACTTCATATAGATCCTCCTATCAGCTTGTCTACAGCAGCGGAACATTTGTGTGTTTTAATTTATTTAAAGTTTCACCAGCAAAAATACACACAACATGGATGGAGAGACAGAGTGAAAACACAGCAGACATGAGACAGAGAGGGCTGTATTGTACTGGGTCTGGGTTGACACAGAAGGAGGCCATGTGTTGCACGCTCATATGAAGCCTGAAGCGTTCTGCAGCCCTAGACAGGAAACACTGCTGCTTTGCTTGCAGGAGGGTGTTTCCATAGAAACCGAAGCAGGTGAGGGCATTAACAGGAAGAGGAGTAGAGTCTCAGCTGGCAAAGACGAGGGGGGAGTGGAGACAGAAGAACGAGGTCAACGCACTAAAAAGCCTGCCACATGAAACAACCAAATTCTCCCGCCGGCACTTCTGCGGAAAACAACTCTGACTTAAATGTCTTTTGAAGGCTGGCCTGCAACAAATCCAAAGTCAAGGTTAAGTTGCTGACTGTTTGGTGATCCTTTCTGTGTTGAGCGTGAGTAAACAAAGAGAGAGGTATTATGTGCGAGTCGGATAGGGGCACACTGGAGACGGCAAGGTAGGCGTTTTCACCAGGCCTGCTTGCATGAAACAAAGGAGAATTTTCCACCTTACAAGTCCGAGGTGTTTTTGTGTTTATGATGTCTGTCTGCAGAAAATGCTTGCGCCTCACTTGCAGACCACCATGGCAGAGCTCTTTTGATGTGTTTTTAATGTGTGGGGATGTATCACTAACGAGACGCCCCGCTCCTTTTCTCCAGTGTGGCACCCGAGGAAGTATAGCGTGACTAGCTGGCGGTGAGGACTGTGGTGAGGTTTCCTGTCTGGGTTGCATATTTCAACACTGCAGAAACACCTTTTCGTTAAGCTGTCAGTCAAAACAAAGCTCTTAGAGACCTGTCTCTCTGAGGGAAAAGGAAATGCATAAGCTATATTCCCTCCTTTTTTTCTCTGATCACTATGGCTTACACATTCGTCAAAACACTGCTTCTGTTTCTGCTGAATAGCTTCCCCGACTGATATGGATGTTTTTGTTCTCTGATGTTTACATAATTGAATTCTTTTGTGCCTACTAGATTAGATTTTGGGCATATACAGACGGCTGTTCAGTCAAAGTTGAGTTTTCACACAAGAAAATCTCCGGCCAGGACTCAGCCGTCTCTCTTCATGTTGGTCTGTGGTTGGTGTTTTTCTTTCAATTATAATTCAGATTTAAAAGCAGGATCCTGTGATGCTCCCCGTGCATTTCCAAGGTCATCTCACAGAGATGTTAGAGTGTGGCTTATCATTATGGATGTGCATAATTGAAAGCTTGAGCTTGTGTAATCGCTTAAACATTACGAATTCTTGGAGATGTGTTTATTTACTTGACGGGATTAAACAGGGAAGTGTAAATATTACGCTGCACAGTTACGATGTTGGTGCTGACATATTGTGCTGGAGACCGCCGTTGGAGCGCAGTGTGGATCAGGTGGTTGAGCTATTATATTGACATCCTGACTCACCAGAATGCTCATTTGACTCACTAATAAAATGTCAGGGGATCCAGGTCCACACAGTCCACAGCAGGCGCTTTGAGTCAGACACTCACAGTAATGGCTGCACGAAAAATTGATATTGTAATTCCCTTATATGCAATGCAAAATGAAAAAAAGGTCAGGATTCTCACCAGAGGGGTGTTTCTGTGTTTTTGTAATGGATTAAAAAAATAAATAAATGGAAATCACATCTTGATTTTCCCACATTGGGTCCAGACATCTGACAATCATAAACTTTACTAATAAATGCACTTACTCAGTTTTTTAAGTTATATCAAAACTTCCATAAGGTGTTTTTTGACATTTACAAAACAGACTGATATTTATATTGCTGCCTTTTTATGATATCCAAATGCAAACAAGACCATCGGTGATGAGATTGGACGAGATTAGTATCCCAGTTTCTAATGCTCAAATGCTGCACAAGGGGTAGGTGTTTTTTACAACATGGAATATTCCCAATAAGTGACTTTTTGACTGGCAAGGGTCAGCTGTATGATGTTTTTGTCTAAGGTCCCTTCCTAATAGGGGCGGGAACCACTAGTGGACATGATTCTATATTATCACGATGCTTGGGCCACCATATGATATTATTGCGATTGTTAACATTTTGCAATGCAGTGAATATCGCGATACAATATATTGCGATTTATACAATTTTTTCAACTGTTTAGCCAAGTTAGCATTTGTCTTTCCTTTATGTTTATCTTATTTACTCAGTATTTTATTTTCATGTAGCACTTCTTGCAAATCTTACATATATATATTTGTTGCACTAACTTTCTCCTGCTCTATGATGTCCCCTTTGCCAAGCTCACTGGACAAACAGTTGATTTTATTTTTCTATTATTATAGATTTAACTTCGTAAAAGCAATTAATTTGAAGAATCGATACCTGGTAAACGAGATGATATGATATATCACCAGACAAAATATCGCGATACTAGGCTGTATCTATTTTTTTCTCTCACCCCTACTACCGAAGCACAGAAAGGACTGATTTGTCCACAGAGGGCGCCAAAATCGACACAAACTTAAAGTTCTTCATAGAAGCTTTAAATCTGCATCAACAGCCCATGACAGTAACTTAATAAAAAAATTAAAATTCCCCATCAAGTTGTTATTTTCACAACACCACAGTCATGTGAAAGTGCAGACACATAAAGCAGACAGTCATGATACACAGATACAGACTCTTCATCTCTACAGTAGTCAGTTCTCTGTGTTTGCACTGAGGGCTGCTCTTAGATGATATAAGATAATCTTTTATTGTGGATCAACCGTGGAAAATGAGAAACTGATGACAGCATGACTGATATTACTCATCACAGGATGTGACTACTTTGCACGTGCTCTTACGTTGTTCAGCCTTACTCATGGTTGTAGAGGGTCCAGTAGTTGTTGTCTATGCCACCGGTCTGGCATACTGTAGGAGCTGCATTTATTGACAGAGCTGTCAATCACAGGGGTGTATCTCATTTTTACAGTGAATTCAAATAACTGAATAAAACTCAACGTCTTGATTTAAATCAGCTTAACAAGAATTCATGTCTGAGGAAAACTTGGTTGAGGTGTATTTTCATTTTCTTGTTTGATTCATGTCTCATCTGTTAACATGGAGGAGGCAAACTGCATGAACTAAACAGCCAGCCAGTCAAAATAGGCAGCTACAGGTGTTTTGGCTTCACTTTTAAAGGGGGTGGCATGTCATCCATCATTTTGTATATCTTTCTGCTTGTATATTTAATATGGTTTTGCGCCCTGTTGTTTTTTAATCACTTTAATTTAATCACTGTTAATTTGACCCTTTTTTTCTGTTCCTCAGGTTTCCAGGCTGACAGTTGAGAAGCATCAATATTCCCTCGACAGTTTCCAACAAGAAGTATCTTCTCCTCTCTTGACTGCATCTTGGACTACCTCTCTTTGCAAAACAAGCCTCCACCAATCAGCCACCATGCCTATCCTGAAACAGCTCGTCTCAGGCTCCTCCCACACCAAACGTCGCTCCCGGATGGACTTGACCCGGGAGATGATCAGCGCTCCTCTGGGCGACTTCCGCCACACCATGCACGTAGGTCGCAGTGGGGACGCGTTTGGCGACACCTCCTTCCTCAGCAGCCGCTCGGGAGAACCCCCCGCCGAAACCACGTCCTACCCCAGCTCCCCTCGTCCCGGCCTCCTGTCTCGCACCTTCAGGAGCAGCAAACGCTCCCAGTCTGTGACCAGAGTGGACCAGCAAAGTAACGCCTTAGTGGTTCCCGGTGGGTCGCCAACTTATGTGAAGAACGCCATGTCCCTTCCCTTCCTCTATGATGACAGAGGGGACAGTATGGTAGGGAAGAGTTTGTCCTCAAGTCCGTTACAGCAGCCTGGGGATGTCGATGGCAGAGGCGCAGCTGCAGCTTCAGCCGCTCACATTCTAGAGCAGGAAGAACGAAACTTCGGCGAGCTGACAGAGCTCCCGGAGACTTCCCACCACTACGGAGGCGGCATGAAACGTGCAGACTCAGTCATGTCTTTCCACGTAGATCTGGGACCATCGATGTTGGGTGACATCTTGGGAGTGATGGAGAAGGAGGATGATGATCTGGGCTATGAGGAGGGCAAGAGCAGCGAAGGCCGGGCCTCACCGCCCCTGAGCACACACGAAGAAGAGGAGAACAGCATGGAAAGAGAGAAAGAGGAGGATACAGAGGAGCAGATGGAGGAAGAGGTAGAGGCTGTAGAGCTGCAGGAGGGCTCCACGCATCCAGCTGGCTCTATTAATCTGGAGCCGGAGAACGGAGGGCCCTACACCCCTGAGTACACCCCTGAGACTCGGCCCAAACACTTGCAGCACCTAGACAGCTGCTCCATGTCTAGCTCTGGCTCTGCCGCCTTGGATGAGAAACCAAACAGCCAGACTTACGCAGGAGACACAGACAGCGCCACCTTCAGTGCCCCGCCCGAGGAGGAGAGCAACTTCTCCTCTTTCTTAGAGGATGAAGACGACGAGATCCGCGTATGAGATTCTAAAGCCTTCTAAAAACAGCACAGAGATCTGGAAGGGGGGTTTATGTGGAGCTAGCAAGTCCTTGACAGTGTGGATTTGCACTTGAACAGATATGAGACACTGCTGGCGGGTGCTGTGGGACTAGATATGTAAGGAAGACAGAGGACTCCCTCTCTCTGTACGGAGAGAGTGACTGCTCCTTTAGGACGAGCCCAAACTCCATCTGTCAGAGAGTCTTACCCTCCATTTTCTGTTTGTCTGTCAATCCGTCTTTGGCTTTTTTGAACACGGAGGGAACTGACGTGGAATAGCAGCCGCTTTTTTGTCTCTGGAACATTCCAAAAGTAAGCAGGGAGGTCTGGTTAGAAAGAAACTTTGGTAGGAAAAACACTTTCCACAGCTAAAGCTCGGTTCACACTTTCTTTCTCTGTCTGTCTCTTCTTACTTTGTATGTCACATGTGCTTTCTTCATCAAGTCCCCCTCCTCTTTTCTTGTTGTGCTTTCTCCCCTCTCTCTCTCCTTCTCGCTCTGCCTCTGGGACATCAAGAGGCCTGAGCCGAGCAGACTAGGCCTCTGTCGCCACAGGATCACCGGTAGGTATCTTGTCACAACAAAAAGAGGCCGTGTTTGACACTGGAGTGTGAAGCCTTGCCTCGAGCCTCCGTTATCTGAAAACATTACAGCAAAGTGCCATAGATCTATCCGAGTTCTCCCCCCCTTATGTAACTCAGGGTCCTTGCGACGCCGCTCAAAGGCTGCCATTTCCTGCTGTAAAGCTGGACCACAAAGCCCAAAACCAAAATTCTGTTCTGTTTTGGATCCCCTCTGAGCGCCACACAGGCTGAGCCTCAATGTAAATTTGAGAGAAGCAGGGTTTTAAAGCTAGCCGAGACACATTAGCCTGCATTTACAGAAAAGTATGGTGTTACTACAGGAAACCAGAGGGGCAGGAGTAGTTTGCGGCACACTGGGAAAAGGACTGCGATTTGTTTTTGTTGCAGTTTTTCCCAAGGAACAGTCTTATTTCAGCCTAAAGCTATGAGAACGTAGGGAATGATTTGACAGATTTCTGCGAAACTGACGTGAATCAACCGTCTTTCTTTTCTCCTTCTAATCTGTCATCAGAGCAGAAACTGAAAAGCATTTGATAACCACTTCCTTCCTTGTTTTTGTACATCCGCACAGTTGCAGCACCGTGTTACTGAACTGTGTAAAAAGATGTTGATCCTCATTAGTGCAGAGGCTGCCTTAATGCATCAAACAGATCCCACCACTACTCATGAAGAGGGCTTAAGGGTGTGTGTTATTGAAAAATGAGTGCACCAGCAGGCACAATTAAACCAGACACTACTGGTACTTTCTCTTTAATACCTGTTGTTTTATCTTCGGAAAGGAAAAAAAAAAAATCTTTTGCTTTGTTTGTGTTACATCTGTTTGGAGAGCAGATGAAAAGGAAAAGCCAGCAATAGATGCAAGAGCATTGAGAAAAATCTATTTTTATGCAAGCTGCGTAGTCATTGCAGCTTCACTGTATCTCTTGCATCATTAAAAAACCATGGCCAGAAGTGTTGAGGCTTAGTTGCTCTGATTGATTTCACTGCCTTAACTGACACTGACAAGATGTGCCAAATCGTAATTTTCTAGCCAAAAATAATTTGAGTTTGTGATGCTGACTTTTTGGGAGAGCCTGTCAAATCTGTCTGTCACTTCCTCCTCTGTATGGGTAATCACTGTTGAATTTTGAGTTGCAGCTCGTTGGTTTAAAAAAAGAAAACTAAATACTGTTTTGAGATGTGATATAATGCAGCAAAAAAAAACTAGAAAAGATGAATTTGCATAACTGGATATTTATGTTTCCAATCACTCAAACACTACATAATATATTCAGGTAATTTCTAGGGTGAGTAAATTTGTGGGAATGGGAAGATGTCTGTGTATAATGTCAGATATTACGCCTTACTGTTTTCTTTGTCTTTTTTTCTGTATTATCTAAAATAACCTATATTTTTCAATAAAAGAAACCCTGAACATCATCGCTGCTGCATATTTTATTGCCCTTTTTTTATCCAATTGCATCAGCTGAAGAAGTGCTACTCAATCAGCAGCCAACAAAGGAATTCCTTGAGTGCCTTCTCTGTTTCCTGCCCCTATTCTTTGGCTCTCCCTGAGGAGGAAGGAAGGAAGCAATCGAGCAGTAGTGGGATATGTCTCTTAAGTATTAAACCCATACAAGCTGAGAATGATTAGATTCCTGAGTTAATGTTTGTGAGTCTTTGTGTGTGTGCATAAGAGGAAAGAGTCGAAATGTGAGTGCGCTTGTAATAGGGATTTTCTGAAGCTGTCACTTCACTGCTCCGTCATTCTTAACCAGCTACAGAGACAATACAGGGAAATATCCGAGGTGACAACCATATTTAATATCAAAAACCACATATGACAGCCCATTTGCCAATATTGGAACACGGTTAACATGAACATTTACATTTATTCACTTTTATTTGACAGTTTTGAAAATCAGGAATACGATGCCTGAGGTGAGATAACAGCACTAACATCTAAACGCTGCTATTTTTACTCAACATAAGCTCTCTAAGAATATGTTAAGTACGATATGAAAGAAAACGTCTGTTTTACTGCCATAGCATGAATGATATGATAACACAGCTACTTGTTAAGCATTATCACTTGTTAAATTGAGACTCTAAATAGCAGGATGACACGAACAAATCAACAAACGGGCTAATAAATGTGCTAATTAGCCAAAAGTGGCTCAATTGAGGCTCTTATCCCTGTTGATGAATGCCAGAATTAGCACTAAACTTCAATTTAAAGAAAAAAAAATCCTGCTGTACCTGCAAAGATTTAGCTTTTTCCATCAGATACATGACTTGAAACCGAGACGTTAGCTACAAAGTACTGGACGCTAATGCTAGCTGCATGCTAATGTTAGCAAACTACCTGTTAAACGTGTCTTTAAACTAATAATTCAGTGAAATTATCTTTACATTTGCTTTTCAGTTACTCGGGGATGAAAAAACAATTCATCAGATTGTCTGTGTTTATATGACTTACAACCTTGAACAGAGTAGTAGCTGCCTTTAAACAGAGCTTGATAAGTTATGCAGAGGTGTGTAGTTGTGAAATAAAAGGCTTAGTTTTCAATGGTTAACATCATTGCTAAGCAACAAAGCTGGATCATTGGTGTCCTTGCTTTCAGCACAGAAACTCTAGAATTACTTTGTGCTGAACCAAAGCACAAAGGGTCAAAATTCACGATGATTAATGATCTTCATTTACAACTACTGTAGCTCGTTTTGGTCTTTTACCTTGTTCATCAGACTACATTGTAGAAGTTGTGTTCCTGCTAATACCAGCTAGCTTGGCTCCTGTAAATACAGACCCTGTCAGGTACATGATAATGAATTGTATTTTGTACATAAAACTGGATTGAAAACTTCATTTAACATGAACACAACTCATTAGCGTGAAGTTTTCGGAAAAACCGACTCACGATGTTGTGATTACGGTAAGAAAGAGGCGCTCAAAATGTCTCTTTTCACAATTTTAAGGAACAAATAATGATAACCAAGCTTCATATTCAAAAGTATGGCTGCCATGGGAGTATAATCTCAGTGTTAGCAGAGATTTGCATCACCAGCTTTTGATTTTCTCTGCAGGGAAACATTGACATGATGCCTGTGGTTATACTAACCTCCATAATGCTGTAGCTGTCAACCAGAGACCTTGCCCTGGCTTATGAAAGTAGATGTGTCGCGGTTTCAGTGTGACTTGTTTCTGACGTTTTGCACCTGCAATGATAAAAATATCAATAATTTGTTTAACCAATCAGTAATTCTTCACTACTGTGCTTTTTTCAGGTACCATTTTATTGCCAATCTGATTGGAGGAAAGTGACACCCAGTAGTTTCCTCATTATCACCCACTCAAAGCTGTTTGACATCTTTGATTTTCCTATCCACTTTTTGTTGCCCGAACCCTTCTGAACCCTTATCCTGGGGTCAAAGTTCACTGCACTCTGTTTAGTCAGCAGACGGTACAAGGTCTCACCCTGCGTGTTGGAAAAAAAACAGCTTCATTCTTCTTTCGCTATCTTTTGTGTTTCTAATCCCATCTTTCATCCCCACTCGGGGCCGTGTTTAATCTCCTTCCACTTCCAGTTTTTCACAGTCACATTAGACCAGCGTCCAATCTGCCAGAGGGCTCGAAAAAGTCATTATTCTTACACTTGTGGTAAAAACAGGCCATTTATATTGATCGCTGTAGTCAATACAAACCAGTGGGGTTATTGATCCCACTGTTCTCTGTCTGTATAAAGTCATTTTTCTTTTTAGAGATTGTTGGGTATTTTCTTGTTTGTTTCCTCAGGAAGGAAAGACTAAATCTCCTCTAGTCACCACTTTTCCTTACGAAAATTTGTTTTCTTTTTACTCTGAATTACACAAAACTTTTGCTGCTGGTCTGGAGCCATTACTTTGTTTAAAGCTTGTCATCTACTGCCATCTAGTGGTGGTTTTAAGGTCATATCTGAGGATGGGTGTGTCAGTGAGATGGTTGGTTTGACTTTGGGGCTGTAAAATTGATCTTTTTAATATCTTTGTATCATCTCAAACCGCCAAACATCAAATTGATCGATGACTTTGATTTGATTTTAAGTGTCGACAGAAAAATTACCGCAGAAAAAAAATTCAAACTCATCACCCGGACTGTCAAGTGAGTATAATTTGGATGATTTGTGGAAGGAGGCAGGATGTGAACACAACTGTTCAAGCTGTCCCTCACATTTGAACTTGATACCAGAGACGGCAGATTTGTTCAGCAAGCTCAGCCCTCCCCCCAAAAGACACTCGTTGTAATCCGAGTCTGCCTTGCAGCTGTTTCTCCCTCTCAAACACTCCGGTTGGACTTTCTCATCTGCTTCAGAGGCTGTCAAATGTCATTTCCCTTGGCTTCCCAACTCCTCTTTGAAAATCATATTTTCTTTCTGGCTCGGCCAATGGGAGGCGCTCATTGCCTTTAGGTTTATTATGTCAGGAGCCCCAGTCTGGACCCACAACCTTTTCCGCCAAATTCCATCAGCAGACTTGCAGCTCTTCCAGGAGGCCGGCGGCATGTTGAAATCTGGAAAGTATTAAACAACCTGTTGGTGGAGGGGGGGAGCAGGGAAGGGGAAGGGGGGATGAAGGAGGGAGAGAGGGGAAGTAGAAAGTGGGGGATGGGGGAGAAGAGAAGCAGAATGCAAAATTGTTCATATCCCGCCCTTTGCCTGGCTCTGCTCCCTCTCCCCTCCCACACACACACACATAAGAGTGTGAGCTCCCCCCAAAAATGCAGACCACTCCCCAAGCAGCTCCAGCATTTTTCTTTTATGTTTGCAGCACTATTTTGCAAGTACGTTTTTTTTTTTTAAACGGGTCATAAACAAACAGCCGTTTCTGCTCTGTAGCCCTGCAATGAAGGGGTGTGTGTGGGTGGGTGTGGTGTGTGCGTATGTGTGTGGAAGTGTTCGCTGGCAGAGACCTGGAAGGAGAGACGGGCCTTAAAAGTGAGGTTGGACGCGAGAAAACTGGATGCCATCCAAACATCCTTTCCCATGCCTTGATGCAGATATCTCTGTGTGCTGTAACACGGGGGGAGGGTCTCTCTGCAGGGAGGTAGCCCGCCTGTTAGAAGATGTATAGAATCCAATCTGTGCCAAGTTAACTTCCTCAAGCACGAAAAACAAAAATGAACTTCTAGGGAAAATAAATCCGCCTTCACTGCCAAGTAATTGCATAAATTTCTAAGTATTTATTTTGAATTCTCAGTAGCCTCCTCCTTTGTTCTGAGTTTTAACATCATTTATACTCGTCAGCTATCTAGTGAAGACTTTCCACCTTTACTTGCTTTTCAAATGCTCCAACTCGTCTCTCTTCAAATCTGACTGAACAGAGTACAAAACAGTCAAACTCTCAAATCTAATCATTATTTTTTTTTAACACATATGTCTTCGAGGATTGCTTTAAGACTCCTCCATGATTGCATGAAGCGGCGCTACGGATATTGGCGGTAACAGAAACAGCGAACATAAACATTCCAGTACCCAGATTTGACCTCTTGACCTGTAAACCCTGGAACTGCAGGGCTGGCAGGAGGAGACCACACACACACACGTGGTGGGAGTAGGAGTAAGAGGAGGAGGAGGAGGAGGAGGAGAGGGGGGGATGCGAAAACCTCTCTGGTGTCCTCGCCTTAAAGAGCTTCAGATGCCTGTGCTGAAGACTGTGAAAAATTAGCCCGTCGTCTCAGAATCGCCGCAGTTTCCCCGCTCTGGGATGGTTGTAGGTATGTCAGAGCGAGCGGATGGCTTTCTCAGATGGAAAAGTTATTTAAAGGGGAAGACAGCTCCCGTCTGCCGCCCCTTTGTTGTTGTGCTAAAAGAAGTTTCTATCATGATTCAGGAAACTGTGTCATAACCTCTTTGGGCTAGACTCAAATTTGCCGTCTTAAAAAGTGCTTTTCTGTCGAGCGGAACCACAATTCCTGAATCTGTCTGCAACTCAGCAGTCTGAAACCATAAATTTATTAAAGTTTTATTGTTCTTTTTGTGCTAGAACAAGCAGTTTGAACATCGTAGGCGAGTTTGATGTGTCCATCCTTCAAAGCAGTGATTTAATAACGTTGACGTCGATTATGAAATCAGCTTTAACCACCACTGCCCCATTTTATACATCCGGCTCGAACCAAAATCTGGCGACTCACTTTTACCATAATTTCCAAAGAAACAATGATTCACGGCTTTATTTTTCCATTCTTCTCCTTGTGTCTGTGCTCTGCTGTCTCACTCGACTGCAGAGAATCGCTGTTCCTGCAGCCATGTGCGTCCCCAGGAGGTCTGGCCTGGCCTGCACTCAGCCATGACCACATAGTATGGGGCTGGGGGCTTCTCGCTGCTCTCTACACCCCTCCTCTCTGCCTGAGGCTCTTTCCATGCCAAGGCCTGTTCGTGGCTGGCTGACACTTAAGGAAGGAGAGCACACACGTGTTATGCACTCTTCTACCCGCCAATATACACCTAAAGGCAAATGTAAACTTTTATGCATAAACTTGATTATTCATCAGAAGTGTAATTTCTATCCTGGTTTTCATCACATTCAGGATGTAGCGTTCACATGCACACAGGAAAACCTGACTTTTCATGCATAACTTTTACAACAAAAAACCGCAGCAATTTCGAAATCTGAGAATATGAGCCGTTTGCGGCTTATTGTAGGGCTTATTGACGATTAGGCTAGTTCAGGCAGGCCACAGAGTCAAGCTTAGCCATCAGAGTATCAGCTGATCACAATGCCAGCCCATATCAGCTGCATGGATGACTGTCCATGCATCCAATTTGCAAAATGTAAGAATGCACACTCTATTTAAACTGTTTAAACACCCCTACTTCTTCAGTAGTCTGCCTTGCAATCCACTTTTTTTAAAACTATAACTGATTTAACTGTAGTGTCAAATGTATTGACTGCTCTTTTCCATGTATTTGCTGATGGTCTTTCTGCCTTAGATTACACATGTGCAGACAACGCGGTAGTGTGCTCTCCCCGAACGCACAAGTGGGATACTTATGCTGCGTTCCAGTTGTACTCGGAAGTCGGAATTTCCAAGCTCCGAGTCGGAAATTCATCCGGAACGCCCCGCTGAAGTCGGATTTCCAACTCGGAAAGTCGGACAATCCTCGCCGATCCCAACTTGACGACAACGTCATAATCCAAGATGGCAGCGCAGATGGCATCCACGGTAAATAGTAACAGTGAAAGCTCTCGTAATGTATTATTTACAAGCTCTTCTGTTTTGTTTTTGTGATATTTATTAAGTGGTATTTGTTGTGCGGCCCGATGTCTAACTGTAAACACGGTGCTATGGTGTTTGTAAGAGTAAAATACAGCATTGTTTACAACCGGTATCGCTAACAACAGCTGACAATTGTAAACAGCTAACAACGGCTAACTGTAGGCGTCCATCTTGGTTTTCCAAATTGTTAACTGGAACGCCTCAACTCGGGTTTAACGTCATTCCCAGCTCTGACATCCAACTTCTGAGGTAACTGGAATGCAGCATATGAAAACATGAGTAACACCAGGATACTCAGGTTCATTTAAAAGCATATAACATTAAAAAATCTGTGACTTTATGCTGGGAACAGAGAGTTTATCAGTGAATCAAGGAAAACGATAAAAAGAGGCTTTATAGATGTTGATCACACAGCAAGTCTACATCCCTGCCAACTTAGACTTGGCGCCTTCCCAACAGGGGCGTTATGGCCTCACAATACCCTCCTTGTTTAGCAGACACTGCATGCCCACTGAGGAGCAAAATGTTCTAAAGCTGACCAGGAAGTGGGGGATCACAAAGGGTCAGTCCCCATAGGGCCAGCTTTAAACTCTGACCTTCGAGTCCTTCTTCAACTTAATCTTCCCTCCCGAGTCCAGACATAATGAGTAATACCAGGGCCACTTATTGACTGCAGGCGCACAGGGAACTGAAGGACGGTCTAAGAGATGGGTCCCTGACAAAAATAAGTAGCTCCTTTTGTGCAGAAAATGTCTTTCATTTTTTGTGTCTTTTTTTTCCACCAATCTGATATTATTTTTAATAAAGTAGTCCTGCACGATGAAAGCAAATCTTTGAACATCTCTAATTTTCAGCTTTTTTAGCATTCCTCAAATTACTGAAATTAAAGTCTAGCAAAAAGTTACATCACCTCCTAATGCTTCAAACGTGAAGAGTGTTTAAAGTTTCCCTCCCTGACTTAAAAACTTCATAGTTTTGGGGGTGAGATGAGGCCTCTGTGCATTCCTGTTAGTTTTATAAAACACAGTCTCCACTGTTCACAGGGGCTTAACCTCAGTGATTTCATCATGCACACTAATATCAGGCCAGGCAGACTTTCCATTACAGTCTATCACCTTCCTGTTTTTTTCGTGTGACTTTATATGCAAACCTTCAAACCTTGTGGAAACACTGCAGCAAACTTCGAGGCCAATTCACTCTCCTCAAATCTCAACAGTGTCATAAATCAGGGTGTGTGTAGAGATAGAAAACAACACTAGGGGGAAGACTCCCAGAGCACCATGTGGAGAGAGGACTTTAAAACAAGCTGTACTGGGTGTTGGTCCTCCATTTAACGACTTCGTCATCCAGTTAATGCTCCCCTCCCTCTGGCCGTGGCTCCCCAAGGGCCGAGCTGGAGAGGAGAGGGGGAAAAGTCCAGCCGATGCTGGCTCTCTTCACCGTCCTGCCGGCCAGGCTTTGGCTGTCCTCCTCTTTTCTCTCCACCTCCTCCTCCTCGGAGATTTCACAGCCAATCAGAGTCAAAAGACCCTAAGCAGATGTATTGTGTGTTTGATTGTCTGCTGGGCTGGGTTGATTCATGTTCATTTCCTGATTACTTAATGATTAAATTAGGCTTTATTTACATTTTAGCTTCACAAAATGATAAAAGAGTTGAAAAACGAGCCAAGCAGCGTGACTGAAGATGAGCGTGACATGAAAGTTGATCAAAAAGAAACTGAAAACAAAAACGTCAACATGTGTAATTAGTGCAAAGCTTTTGATCTGTTGATGACAGTATTTTGATTTATAAAAAAAAACCTTTATCTCTATGGCAACAGAGTTTGAAACACTATCTATCTAATTGCAAACAGAGTGTTTTTATGGAGTCCAAATACAGGGAGTTGATATGTGGAGTACCTCAAGGATCAATCCTAGGTCCCCTCCTCTTTAGTATTTATATATATAATCTCTATTTTCTCCTTCTTCTCTGATCAAACTGCAGTTTTGCTGTAGTTTTATCTTGGGTGTCATACTCCTCCTGCTCATATTTGAACATTTTATATTCCTGTTGTTTTTTTTTTTGAGGTAAAGACATGATGTTTGTGTGCCAATATAACGATATAGAATGAAAGCAATTTGCAAAATTTTCACACCTTGCAAGTATTGAATTTCACTCATATTTTTCTACTCTGTGTTGGATAGCAGGAGTGAAAAAAACATTCAACTGTACAGAAATAATAACCACTCATACAGGCAGCCACTGTCCTGCAGGCATGTGCTATAAATGTGCTGTTCACTCATGCAGTGGATTAAAACCAGAGTCTAAAACAGCACGGCACAATTATTTGATCCCTCATACAACCTTAACATTCTGCCATGAGACGTTCATTTTTTCTTTCTTGTTGGATTTAGGCTTGAAATTGAAATCCATCTGCTGTGTTTATTTTAAACATAAACACTCGATGTAACACTGTGCATGTTATGTAGAGGCGTGTCTGTCTCTGAGCTCTGCAGCTGAGCATGAGGCCATCTCCTGGCTTTCCTGTATCAGACGATTGCCTTTTGGCGGTGTAGCTAGCATGGCAAAGCCTAGCTAAAGCCCACTCCAACCTCTCCATCTGTGGCTGTTTACTGTGATTGACAGCTCAGTGGGAAGAGGCAGGGAAAGTTGTACCAGATTCTTCACTCTGCAAAGCACTGCCTCATTCACACTACGCACTCCAGAGAGAGAGAGAGAGGAGAAAAAAATCTCATGTTGACATCGAAAAACCCCAAACTTTCAAGGGGGGTGGGGCGTGTGTATGGATGTGTACGTGTGCTCAGGAATGCAAGAGCGCTTACGTGGGTGTTTGACCAACTTGGTGAGTAAGAGCGAGGTTGGACAAAAACGTGAATCAGAGCAGGAGGGAAGGGATAGAGGAGGAATGGTTAAGTAATCATCCACATCTCTTTTTTTTTTCTCTACTATTCTCCCGCTGCATGCTCCAGCTGTGCCGCTTCTGCTGCTGCTTTCGGCCCGCCAGGAAGTGTTGGAGGGGGAGTGTGCAGGGTGGAGGCAGGGTGAGGTCACCGTCCTGTTGGCCCCTGGGATGGGAGGAGACAGGAGAGACACTCAGCCCACTGTCACGGCTCTATCTATTCATTCTCAATCTTATTGCTAACTGAGGCCTTTATCTGCAACATATGGTGTCTTTAAAGCATTCCAGCACACACACTACATGTGGAAACGCCACACAGAGCAGCCATTTTGACCGCTATCAAACACTGACCCCCCTCTTTAGCACATGTTCGCACTCACACACAGACACACAGTGAGAGTGAGTCACCCACACAGCCGTAGGCACATTTAGAGACCTCTATGTGAGTGTCGGGCGCTGCGTGCTTGGGATGCCTTGGGTGTGACCGGGGTGGCCTGGGATGTGTGTGTGTGTGTGTGTGTGTGTGTGTGTGTGTGTGTGTGTGTGTGTGTTATGGTCAATCCAGCTGCCTGTCAATCCAGCTGCCTGTCGTCTGCAGCCCATCCCACAAGCTCTAAGGGAAGCCAGACAGAGACTACAGTAGACACCACACAAACACACTCTCACACATGGAGGAAAGGCTACGCGATGGAAAGAACTGCTGATAGGACTTGGAATTTCCTGGTCACCAGCAGATTCATTGGAAATCAAGCACTGGTCATTTCCAGGCCTTTAAATCTCCGGGCCCTTTAACTCTCACACTGTGCATCAAGCGCACACTCAGACGGGCCATAAAAGCACCTTCTCAAATGCTTTTCCAGTTCTTATAATAAAATGTCCCCCATGGGGCCCCAAGAGTGGAGAAGTCAAAATAACATTAGTAATTGACCTGGTATGTGTAAACAAAGTACCTCATGGATGGCTTTCCATATTTTTATATGCAAACCAAGCACCCTCTAGATGTCATTTCAGTGGATAAGATGTAAATACAGATCCCTTTAGATGCCCTTCTAGTGAAAAAATCAAAATAGAGTGCCCTCTAGATGTAATTTCACTGGATTAAATGTAGAAAGAGTTCCCTGGTAACACCTCCCTGGTGTGAGAAAAGTAATAAGGGTGCCCTCTGGATGCCTTTACAGTGAGTAAAGTATAAACAAAGCTTCCCCTGGATGCCCTTCACTGGATAAATTTAAACAAATGCCCTTTAGGATACCCTTCCAAAAATAAAATGTAAACAGCGCACTCTGTAGATGCAACCTGAGTGGATTTATTGTAAAAAGAGTGCCCTCTGAATGCCTTCCTGGTGTGAAAAAAGTAGTAATGTGCCCTCTGGATGACTTTCCAGTCGATGAAATGTAATCAGAGACTCCTCTAGATATCCCTCTTGAGGGTAAATTTGGAGTAAAATGCCTCCTGGATGCCCTCCTTCTGCAAATGTAAATGAAGTGACTCCTGGATGACCTTCTATTAAGAAAATTAAACACAGCTCCTTCTGCATGCCCTCCTAGTGCAAGCAATGTAAACAGGGTTCTCTCTGGATGTACCTCTAGATGACAAATGTAAATTAAGTGCCCTCTGGACGTTCTTCTATAAATAAAATGTGTATACAGTGTCCTCTGGATGCCCTCCCAGTGTGTAAAAAGTAATACCATGCACCCTAGATGCCCCCCAGTATATCAAAAATGTGTCCTCTGGATGCCTTTCAGTGGATAAAAAGTAGTTATGGGCCATTACTTGTGGCCTTCATTGAATACATAAGTTTAAAATTCTTGCTGGCTCTCATGACATACAGCTGGCGTCCTTTCAGTTTTTTCATCCTTGCCCCTGAAACAGCCTGAGTGAAGTAGCTCAGGAATGAAACTGAAAGAGTGTGCTACCTTTAATGACTCATCGAGCTCTCTGGATATAGTGGTGAGAGGTAAGACAGCTTCACCGTCACCACAAAGTTTCCAATTTTCCATGAACTTTCCAGCCATCCATTGTGCAATGATTACACTGTTGTTAGTCTGGTGATTCTCAGGGACTGGGCTGGCTCCACCTACTCCCTCCTCCCACAGCCATGTGTGTACTTATTTTTTTTATACAGACTCGAGGTCTACAAACCCAACCATGACCTCAGAGAATCAAATATTCTCCTTGGAAAAACCCCGTTATCCCCAAAGTAGCATTTTGGGTTGTCAGCTGCATTGTGAATGTATGTGCATTTTCTGTAAAAGTTTGTGGCTTTGAGTATGCAACTGTTTTCCATGAGCATGCATCTCTTCGAGTGTGTGTAGTAAAAACATGTTTATACTTGTGGTATTTATACTAAACACAAGTTATTAGGTCCAAAATGAGGGACAGAAGATCTTGCTGAAGCTGCATTTAACAAGGCTGAAGTTGAAGAGCAGGCCCGCTGTAATAAGAGCCCAGGTAATTGTTTTTGAAGGGTAGCTTTATAATGGAAAAATATAAAAACAACTCCTGTTTTCAATTAAGTCTTTCCACCCCATCCCCCCACAGCTCTGCAAAAGTGGAGAGTTCAATCCGAGCTGCCATGCTATATTTTCTTCTCCTGGTTCGACACTTGCCTACACCATGGGGGCAACAAGGAAGTTTAATGTAATTTTTCCGCTTGCATGTGCTAAAAGCTTAGGTTTTAGCCGTGGAGTAGTAAAAAAAGAAAAAAAACTTCCTCCCATTCCTTTTAATAATGACGATTCAAAAGAGCTTAAAAGTGGGAAAATGTGAGGTTGTGTATATACTGTTACTGTCACTGGAGCACTGCTGTTGTTTTTTGACCACACCCAACATTTCATTTGTCGTGGAAGAGTGAAATTCATCACACAAGGGATCTGAGCGCAACACATGTTTTGTTACACTCATATGGGTGGGGGAACAGGCTAAGGTCTCATCTGGAATGCATAAAGCATAACAATACATCCCAACATCTCTCGTCACTCTGAGTGGAGAGCGAGGCCAGGCTGGGATAGGAGTGGGTGGGAATCTGCAGCGTCTTAAATCCGGCTGGAGCAGTATGGCCATATAATGGAGTCTGTGGGATCAAGCTGTTCTTCCAGAGCCTGCTTTCTTATATGTGACAAATGTACCCTGTTGTGGGAGGACATCTGATTCAGTTTGCCTTGGTTAAAGTGATAATCCACCAGATCTGTGACGGAGATTTTGGACACGGCTTTCTTCATAAGTCATGACTGCTCTTTTGTACTGCTATGCATTTTTTTATCACATTATCCCTCATTCAAAACAATGTGACCATTACAGTCATATGTTTTTCTTTGCATTTCCTTTGATGGAGTTTCCATTTATGTGTAAGAGGCTATTCAATTTGTGTAGTTATAGCATTGTCGCTGCTTACAATGGCCAACCCATTGTCCCCTCCATTCATTTCATTTCAAAATGCTCTCGCTAACGTTATTTCTTGCGAGGCTTAAAAGCTTTGGTAGAACAAATGAACTTGGCTCTTAGCCTTAATGAACTTGTGACTATGAAATTACACTGGGGATGAAAAACAGGAGTGGAGAGAAAACTCAAATATTCTGAACAGCAGTTTGAGAAAGTTTTACTTGAGTGAGAGCAAAAGTATTGGTCTGTGAATCTACCCCAGTGAAATTACTTTGACATAGACGTAATATACATAGACGCCTCATAGACTAATGCTGATGTATCAGTGCAGCAGCCATCTTGGACGGGTCCCCAAAGTGCATTTAGTTCAAATGGGGAAGGTAGGTAAGCCCAACTACTTTCATCATAACTCATTGAATTTTTACCCGATTTTCACACAGTTTGGTGTGTTTTTTATAAAGGGCAGAGATGTAGCTATGATACAGATGCCGTCACATATTAAAAGTAAGAATTATATAATTTTCAATCTTACTTGTGAAATGTAACCCGACGGGATCTGGTTTCAATTCTGCGCATGGTGCTTGTTCTCCGTTGACTCCAGTTGACTCTGGTGCGAGCCTAGCGTGAGGAGACCCATCCAATATGGCGGCGACCCTGGATTACACTCCATACAGAGGCGTCTACATATGTTATGTAGCACTGGGAACTTTTATAACTTTTTTGCTCATGGATTAGAAGTGTAGGGAATGACACCCAAATGAATAAACAAAATCTGTTTATGTTTGTTAACTTAGAACAAACCTTTCAAACATGTGAAGGTCTAGTTTTTGCAAGAGAGTTTGTACGAATAGAAGTTTTTGATTGCAAAAACGTGACAAACGTGGTCATTCTGATCATGTTTCACTACAGCTTCTTGTCTTGGAAGGAAACCAACACTCATGGAGTTTCACCAACGTGAGGGGTGAGCAAGGGAGCATTTGTCTGGAGTCTGTTTGCTGGATGTTGCTAAATTTTTACGCCTCTACACTCTTTACATTCAAAGCTGGTGAAAATGGCTTTACTTCAATGAGCATTAAGGTTCATATGCCACAGCAAAGGAGGAATAACCAAATAAAACTCCAAAGCTATACCTCCCTAAATCCATTCTGCTACCTTAATAAATAACAGAGCAGTGTATTATGAAAAATTTATTACAAACTATTGCTTTGAGTTCAAGGAGAAACGCATTACAGCAAGTGTTTCGGTAGATTTAGAGGTCATAGAATGGCTGTGGGAGCCATAATAAATTTGATTCAGAGATGTTTAAGGGTGTTTGCATTATGCATGTTTAGACTTTAAACACGTGCTGGTGAATCTCTGCGTCTGCCAGATTTTATCAATCCATCCTGGCCTCCTCCTCCTCCTCTCCTCCTTCACTCCTCCACTGAGAGGAGCAGGAGCCGTCAGTGGGTTCTGTTTAGACCTCGTGTGAGTGGCTGCTCTGGGCTGCGGTCCAGGCCCATGCCGACGGATGAGCACACACAACACACACTCCCTGGGCCGAGCCAGGCTTTACGGCACGGCCACAGTTTCCTTTCGCCAGGCCGCTGTACAATCATTAAGGCAGCCTTCACATGTGTGTGTAGCACCACATTCCCCAAAGGCAACCGAGTTTGACTAGCCAGCCATCGTCTTTTACCGGCGCTGACAGGAGAGCAAAACACCGTGTTTATTATGGATTCCATTATCAAGTTTACTTTTATGTATCTGCAGCCAGATGACTCATAACTCAGGCAGAGAGTCTGATGGAAAGGATAAAACTAAAAGCTTGTCCGGCGGCATGCTTATTGTTTCTCTCTTTCTCTCTTGACTCCTTTGTCTTTGGCTAACCTCATGCTAGCCATCCTTAGGCTAAAAATCTGTTGACTCACCTCTTGGTTGTTTTACACAAATCAGACAATAGTTATTTCTTTTGGACTATGTGCTAAAAACCTGCTGATAACCACAGGGAAACAGGCCTGTACTTTCTTCAGCCAATTATTCCAACACAGCTTGTCTTAGCTCCTAAATTAGCCCTAAATGTTTGTGTAACATGACCTTTAACCCTGGGTGCAGCTATTCTATAAATGTAAAACAAATAAATGCTGCATGATTGGAGTCAGTCAAAAAGTCATTTCTGTTGTGTTTGAGTGGAAAACATCTGCTAAAGCTGCATCGTGCTGGAAAAACTTCAGGAAAGAGATTAGGCCTACCCACCGGCTAACACCTTCCATTAGCCTCCATAAAGTGTGAATTGGCAAGCTGTTAAAGAGGCGAGCGCTGTTAGCTGTCAAAGGAGCACAGATACACCGCCTGCAACGGTTAGCACATCAGCATGAATGAGGAAACCGCTGATAACAAGTCGACAAGAGTTATTTTCCTCTCCGGGAGTTAAAGAGGATTTTCGCTGCAGATCTCAAAGCAAACAAATCGTATAAACACAAGTGTTTATTCAGGCACATTTGATTGCAATTTACCAAACAACAAGCAAGGGGTACAATCAGTGCAGCCAAAACATCTACCAGCAGATAACAGAGCTGTAAGATCTGTGCAGAAATGAGTGCAAGGCCATTCAAATTGAATTCTTTCATAGCTTTTCGTTGCTTCATTCCAAGCCCCTGAGGCCAGTATAACTCTGATTTGCAGCAACAGTTTGTATGCTGATCGTGCCTGTTGGGATGTGTGCGCGCGGATGACATCGAATCCAACAGGAAGCCAGGGGCTAATGATTAGCACATGTTTAGGATCACTTGGGTGCCACAATCTGGAGTTTGTCATGCCGAATGTCATTGATTTATTTGGTTGTTGTTGCTTCACAGGGAGGGACAAGCCCTTTTTTTTTCCTACAGCCCACTCCCCTCTATAACATCTTGGCCTGCTTTATCTGATTCAGCTTCCAGCCAATGGAGATCTTTGGCTCGGTCATGGTCCATTTTGGAGCTTTAGGGTTTAAAATGGGAGAGGTGAGATGGGGCATGCATGGCACAGATGCTTTAATATGATCCTGCTTTGCACTTGCACATAATGTTGCTTGTTTTCACTCAGCAGAGAGCAACTAAACCATATGCTGCAGAATTTCTGCACTGCAATCCCGGGCTTGCTTTTATTCTTTACAGCAAGTGAACGTGTGCGTTTGAAAAGCATTACTCATTGTGCATGAACAATTTCACACATCTATGTTAAGTGTGCAGTCCTTAAACCCAGGTCCTCTGCAGCTCCTCCTGCATGCTCTGTGGGATGTTATCTGATAGTCACTAAGTGGCGAAACACAAACACTAAGAGCAGCAAAGCGAGGCCAGTCCAGGCGTGAGGATCGGGCAACATAAGCACATAAGGAAAGAGCCATTGCACATCCTGGAAAGCTGAGAGCGCATCTGCAGGAGGAATGTCGCTGTCTCTGGTTTCAAAAGTGAGCTGAGGAGATGTATTAGACCCTTCAGCGCAAACTAACCCAAGCTGTGACAAAATCATGCAGATCTGTGAGCAGCTGGGTTTGGATTCCACAGTTTTCCAGCTGTGTTGACCCAGAGATGTCCGGTTAGATGACCTAAGGATTGCTTTGTGGACAGGCGTTGTCAGCTACTCCTTGTGACATTTGACCAGGCTGACTTCATAGTTTTAGTGTTTCCTCTTGTTTTGGCTCAGACTCCCATAAGGTGAAGGCGTTCTGAGGCGTTCCATCATTCCTTCATATTCCCAGAAGTAAAATATTCCGGTCCAGCTGTCCTACTTCGATGTCCTCTAGACGGCCAGGCCAGAATCACGTCCAGAACTATAAACCGCCTAATCCCTAATTGTCTCATTTTTGCTTTTGGAAGAGTCCAAAAGAGTCATTTGGCCACTCCTGCAGGTGGAGCTCAGTGAAGGATACCAGGGCAGTGCTTGAATAGAGGCTGAGTCATTTAGTCAGAAAAGAGAGCAGTTCCAGTAACACTCCTCGTCTCTTACACAAGTTTAGACTCGACTTTTGACATGAGGGTGGCCTTTGATGGCTTTAAATACACGACTTACAATGTAAAATAGAAACCGAAAGCAACGACTCACCTTGACGCACAGCCGTTAAAGCTTAAAACCTGATTTTGCAATCTCATTGTGGTTAGGAACTCAGATGGAAAACTCCTCTCTGTGTGAATTCAACAGGAAAACAGCCTTATCAGAATCAGCATGAGAAATATGTTATCAATCCCCAGCAGAGAAAATTGGGTGTGACAGTTGAGAACAGAGCATAGAAAATAATAACTAATAACTACTTTTCCATGTAGACCTCTATACAAAAACTGGAGTTAAGACAAAAAGTTTACATCCAAATATCAACATGTACAAGTATGCACATAAACATATGTATATTTGCATCCTGTTTAAATGCATAGTAAAATTTTGTATGCAACTTAAAAAAAATCTTGTTTGCAGTCATGGCCTACATTTGGGGGAGTATTTTGTTGTATAGTCTGACATAGAAAATGTTGATTTTGAAAGGAAATCAAAAGTGTTCTGACAACTCTGAAGGGGTGTACTCATTTATGCTAAGCCTGTAGATATAGATGTGTTCAGAAATGTTCATCAGCTGTTTGAAATGAATAAAGATGATGGCTTTGAACGGGTTGAATAGAGTGTTTTAAAGCTCCTGTTGGAAGTATCTTTACCTCTATGAAATACAGGGAAATTTATATTGATGCCTCTTTATGATTAACAAAAACAAAAAAGACCATCAGTGACAAAATTGAAGATTTTTTTTATTGTATTTTATGATACCTGATACTGGTGTGAGGGGGTAGGTGTCAGCAAAGCAGCTGAAAAAGGAAAATAAACTCTACTTTTACAATTCCCGCATAAAATACTCACAACAAACAACATATATGATATGTGTATGTAATTCAAATATGTGCTTATAGATATGGATGTGTACAGATATGTCCATCAGCTGCTTGAAATGGATAAAGACGATATGAATGAAGGCGATTTCAAACGACTGGTTTGTAACAGGTTGAATAGAGTGTTTAAAGCTCCCATTGGACCTATTTTTAACTCTATGAAATACAGTGAAATTCATATCAATGCCTCTTTATGTAAAACAAAAACAAAAAAGACCATCAGCGACAAAATTGAAGATTTTTTTTTAATTCTATTTTATGATACCTAATACTGGTGTGAGGGGGTAGGTGTCAGCAAAGCAGCTGAAACGGAAAAATAAATATCTACTTTTACAATTCCCACATAAAATATTCACAACAAACAAAATTTGGGGACTGCTTTGTCCACAGGGGGTCTCATAATGATGTAAAACTACAGTTCCTCACAGGAGCTTTAAAGCTAGAGTTATACAGTTTGGTTGCTGCAGGCTTGTTGTGGTGCTGGTGTGGTTTCTGTGTTTTACCAGGATGTTATGCAGTGGGTGTGGGATTATTACCTTCAGCGTTAACGTTGTTTTAATATTGCAATAATTGTTTTAATCTTGTAAGAATATCAGGATATATTCTCAGTCTTGATCTTTCCACACAGTGCACGCCGTCTCTTGGATTTCCTTTCGAAAATATATTTTCCCAGAGCCCCAGCCCAGTGTTTCAAATTTGTACATTCATTAAACGCAGCGGTGAAATCACTGTGACGCCTCTGTGGTTTTCTTTTAGGTCAGCTGTTTTGCTCGAGGTCGGGTTGCTCAAACAGCACTGAGGCTCTTTTGCACAAGGTTCATTCAGGGAAATCGAAAACACTCCAGTTTGAAATCCACAAACTTCTCTAAGTCTACTAAATAACCAGCTTTTTAAAATAGCTCACCTGCGAGAATCTTCGTGAGGTGGGGTGTGTTGGTTTTAAATTTCAGCCTCAACACAATGGCCCTGTCTCTTGTTACTGCAGCCTGTTTGCTTTGTAATCCCTCAGAGAAAGAAAGAAAGAAAGAAAGAAAGAAAGGAAGAGGAGCAGCTGTAGACGAGGCTGAAGGCTTTGGATGGTTTGCTGTGTTATCGGCCATGTAAGAATGATCATTTCCACTCAGAGTAATGGATAAGCTCTCCCTGGCACACAAAATAATCGGTCAAAGATGTTAGCTCTAACATGCATGTGACTGAACCCATGTATCTTTAGGAGTCTTCACAATAACACGGCTTTCTTTGGCGCATGCTGAAATGATTAAAATAAAACTTCAAACAGAAACTGCATCAAATATTCATTAAGCACGCAGCATTCGCATGTTTTCTACAATAACGATTAAACATCTCGCTTGTGCATGATAATAAGTTGCGAGCATCCTCATGGCTTGTTAAATTAAATACAGTTGTAACAAAGTAAGGGTGGGGCTCTCTGGATCTCATTGCAGTGATGCTTCATTTCCTGAGGAATGTGTGACAGATGATGTATTATGGGAGTTCACGACAACAACAGCAACAGCAGTGTAGCTATAAAACTTTAACTTTCCTTATGTTTCTGACTGATATTGACTTTAAACATGACAGAAAGAGGAAGATCTGATCTCCTGCTCTTCTTCCACTTCTGTGTGCCAGTGTGAGAGTCCTCTCTGACCACATTAGAGCGATACACCACTTGGGCATTTACAATCTCCACACACACACACTTGCTCCAGATGGGCAGCTGGGGTTTTCTGCCGATTCGGCTGCTGCTGGCACTGCCTTCCACCTGACCCCTGCGCAAATTACATCTTCATAACCAGCAGCTCGTCCAGCTGAGCGGTCGGCTGATTGTCAAAGAGCCCTCTCTGCTTCTCTCTCTCTCTCTCTCTCTTTGCCTCCGTCTCCCAGCTGTGCCAGGACTCAGGGCACTGCCTCGCCTCGGCATCCCACATCGAGCCTGGGCAGCAGCTCACAGTTCTTCCCCTGGTGTGTTTACAAACAGAGACCGCAGGAATCCACCTGATGAGCCAAAAAAGTGAGAAGAAGAGAAGAAGAGTAGAAAGAGAGAGAGGGGGAGAGGCAGGGGCAAGCTGTTCTCTCAGACTGCTGCAGCCGATAACATTCATGCCTGGACTCCAAACAGCAAATGTGTGCTTGTGTTTTTGTCGGTGTTGTCTTTTGCATCCCAGTTTGCTTTACAACTTTGTCACTTGTGAGGAAATGGCCTGAGACCGCAGTGTAATGAGGGATGCAGAACCACGGCGGCGGGCTGTGGCGGACGGTCCCTGTTGTCACTCATCCTTAAATCGTGTGTGCGCGCAGATCCAAGCTGTTCCATCAGTTTAGCATGACGGAAACTTTTGCACCCTGTTAACTCCCTTTGGCACCGGACAAACTCTCCCTTCTCTGTGCAGACGCAGGAGTAAACAGGAGGCCTGCTTCACACACTCGCAGGCATTCTGGGCATACCGCGGGGCCTCCAGAGGGCTGGTCCACACACATACACACACACACACACTCTCACACTCCCTATCTGGACATGTGTTGAGCACGTTCAGCTAGTCAGAGGGGGTCGGTGGGCATGTCCAGCCACCCTCAACCATCTGGAACGAGGTAAAGAGCCTGTAAGGTGTGGCTTGTTAAGACATAAAACATTCACAAACGTATGGCTCAGAATGTCGACACTGATGGGACGCTGATTCATACAACCCTGATTTCACAAGATTGAAGATGTTGTGCAAAAAACAGACTTTGATGGTATGCAAGACATTCAAAACTTATATTTTGGTTTCAAATAGTGCAACGATAACATAACTTGACAGTTTGACTGCATGTTAGTTGTTGTGCTGCATCACCTCTGAAGTGAAATTTTGCGGTTATACATATCGAATGTTGTCCAGTTCTTGCCTGATTTAAGATTTAAGGTGCTCCACGTTTGTAGATCTCCTTGAAAGTGTCCTTGCACCGTGATTTATGAGTCGTGACGTGCCAAATGTTTCCAATAGGTGACAAATCAGGATTGCAAGCACGCCACTTCAGGAGCCAAAGCCACGCTGTTAATACGTGCGAAATGTTCTCTCTGAAGAAGTCTTGAGTGGAAGTATATATTGCTCCAAAACCTAAGTACAGACAGTGTTTGTTTTTTAAGTTTTTGAGCCCATGCAGTGATTTCCACTACAGAGTCATGTCTGTTTTTAATTCAGTACTGCATTAAAACCCAAAAATCACAGCCATCCTCTCCCAGTCATCAGCCCTGTCCCTTTTGTTCACATACTTCTCCAGATTCTCATAATTTTCGATGATATTATGTACGGTTGTAAATCCCTGAATTCTTTCCAATGTTATGCTGAAGCACATTTTTCTGTAACTGCTTAGCTGTTCGCTAAAGCAAGCTATCACATGGAGGGATTCAGCCTCTCAGAAAATCAATCAATCAATCAATCAACTTTATTTCTATGGCACATTTAAAAGAACCACGGGGGTAGCCAAAGTGCTGTACAAACTGTGTTTTTATAACACAGATGTGTTTCTAACCTGTTGCAAAAGTTTAATTTAGCCTCACACAACTTTTTCAGTGTCTTATTGTGTTTTCCAAACTGTTTTGAAAAGTAAATAAGCACCATTCGGCTCAAATCTGACCCGTTTTGACTTTTAAAAGCAGTAAAAATACCCTAAATATCATTCTTTAAGCCTGAAACTTGATGACTTTTCCTGAAGTAGCCTAAAATACATGAAATTATTTTAAAATTATTCATGTGTATTTGTGTATACATGCACATTTTTCTCCTTTGGGGCTGTTACAGGTCAAATTTGATTGATTGATAGATGGATTTTAGGTCTACCAGTGTGCGACAAGTGAGAACAGTGTTCAATATAAAGGTTGTTGTTCAATAAATAATCAAATTTTATCATTATGACTTTTATATTCTGTTATTTCTTACATAATATTACATAACATTATCCTGTGTAATAGAAAAAATACACTTTCCCTGCTCTTTGAAACATTCAGGAAGGACTAATCAATATTTGTTTGGAGTAGCATAGGTCATTTACACATTATGAATAGGTTTGGGGTTAAAAACTTTGGTAAAGATACAGGATTTGACCAGTTTGTGAGGCTGACGTGATATTTTCAGTTCTCAGCTTTGCACTATTTTCAATTGAACACATGCTTTAAATCAAATCCTATTCTAATCAACATAAAACACAGTGTCACAGCTCCTTTTGGATGCAACATGTAAGGCTTTACAACAACATGACAGCAAGTCTATTCAACGCAATGATAACACACAAAGCATATAATTGCTGAGTATCAAAGAGGCTTCAAAAAGCCTTTGTGAAATGTCACTGGCTGTGTCAGGATGGTGTTTAGTTTTGAAGTCATAGATGTTTCAGGGCACAAAAACAGAGACATGTCACACAAAAGCTTACATTTCGCGGTTTGCAAAGTAATACCATAAGGGTACTCCATGCAATCCTGTGGCCTTTACTACAATCCAGATGATAGGCTTCCACGGAGAGAAGAAGGAGAGAGAGAAAGAGGAGGGGAGGGGTGAAAGAAAAAAAAAGGAGTTTTTTGGAGCGGGCCCCTGGTGACGTGCAGGGCCTGCAGGGCGGTGTTCTCAGGCGGAGAAAGAGACTGACTGGGGTGTGTGAGCCACATCTGGAATAGTAGCTACAGAGGAAGAGTCCAGACAGAGGAGCAGAAAAGTCGCTGAAACTCTCCCCAAACTCTTCACTTGAGCACTCCCTTTCCTCGGAATCAAACCTCCTGCTTGCTTCGCCCTCTTTTGTAAGTTGGACTTATATTTTGGAGCTTTTTTTTTTGTTTTTCCAAACTGAATTTTCATTGACTTTTTGGACTTCGCCTCTGGAATTAACCCAACTTTGGATTTAATAACATGGCTAAAAAAATGCACTTTTTAAAACTCTCTATTTCTAACGAATCGTTCACTTTCGCCTTCACTTCCTAGAGTTAAACGGTACATGTTGAGGCGCACGCATGGCGGCACTACGCTGGAATGTTTTTCCTGCAGATGGCTTGAGTTTGCTTTCCAACAGCAGGCATTGATTAGTCGTGAATCTTTCTGTCTCATATCGACCAACAGTTGCCTTTCTCCGGGGCTTTATACTTTGCAAACACTCCGAGCTGAAATTACTGGGTAGTAATTAGGAAATCTGGACTTTGAATCGGATCAAAAAGTTCATAAAATCGATTTACACCCTAAATATAACCCAAACATTGACTTTTTCAGCAGCATAAGGAAGAAATTAGAGCTCCTTCCTTCTTTTCTTTCTACGTTTTGAAATGTAAGGGGATACTTTCACATAGAGGTAAACATTGCGGTTGGTGCAGGAGTGAGGTAACGGCGCCATCTAGCGTTCACGTGGGAAGGGCGAGATTGATGACTGATTTTTTTTTTCTATCTCTCTAGATCTACTTGAGAAAATGCTGCTCATCCTGCTTGGAGTGCTTGTCCTGCACCTTATCATCCTCATACTCCTCATTGTGTCCACAGCAGCCAGTGTAAGTAAACCTGATTATGAATAAAGAAGAGGAAGTAACTCGCAGGAATAAAACAGAGTAGAGTTTTTTGCATGATTGTGCGAATTTGGACTTTAAAAGTCTCTGTGTTGTTGTGTTTACCAGGCCTGGACTGTAGGTGGGGATAGGAGCTCGGATCTTTGGTACAATTGCATGACAACAAATGGAGGCTACCACTGCAAGCCTGCAAGCAATGAAGGTGGGTTTGCAACAACCAGAAAGCCCTCTAAATACTCAATCCTGTTTTCTTTAGCTTGGGCGTGGGAGAGTTATGTCTGTGTTTGAAATTCTGCAACGTTTCCGTCCGTTTTCCCAGACTGGCTCCAGGCGGTTCAAGCCCTCATGATCCTGGCCGTGCTCTTCTGCTTCTTCTCCCTCATCGCGTTCGTGTATCAGCTGTTCAGACTGGTGAAGGGCGGACGCTTCTTCTTCACAGCCATCTTCCAGATCTTGGCGAGTGAGTATGACTTCATCACATGAATAGGGTCACACCCTGAGCAGAAGAGGGTGGAGCCGCTGTGAGATCATCTCTCCGAATTCCTCCTCATCTTTCCCCCTTCTCGTGATTTCTCTCTCCTAGGCGTGTTCGTGATGTGCGGGGCGATCATCTACACCGTGATGAGTCCGGATGATGCAAAGGTGGTGTTCGGCTACGCCTACGTTCTGGCCTGGGTGGCCTTCCCGCTCTGTCTCATCAGCGGCCTCATTTATATCGTGCTGAGGAAGAAAGAATGAGAGACGGAGAGGAGGAGGAAAGAGAAGGGGGAAGTTAGGAGTACCCCTTTCAACAACATCGCACTGTGCCTACTGCCCACAGACCAAAGACTGACATCCCATCCACACAACAAAAGTGCACGTGTCACTAACAGTTGTAAACACAGAGCGGAGAAGTTGATCACTGCTGGGGAATCTTCTTTTAGCTGTTTTTTGTTCCCACCATATGCTGAAAAAATATCACAGCTGCTTGCTTTGTGAATCTAACCGAAAAGCCAAAGTGTGTAACACGACTCATTCCTGTGGTGACTTCAAAATGTGTTTGGAAATGCGTTGGTGACATGTTGACTTTTGTTGCACGCCTGACTTCCACAAATCCATCCCGTGTGATAACAAAGACGATTAATCCTGCCATGTTTTCAGTACAAAGATGTACATAGTGTCTGTGGTTTTTAGACATATTTATAACATTTTTACATACATTTTGTACATAGTGTTGTCAAGTTAACATTGTCATGCTCATTTACGTGATAGAGTCTCGTGTCTCTCACAAATCATGCAGCTGTGCCAAAGAGATGTCGCTTCAACCGCCAGAGTATCAAGCTTTTTTTTTATGTCGTCTTTTTTTGTTCGTGTGTGTCTCTGAACCATGTGCCTTACTAAGAATTTCATCTTGAAGGAAAGGAGAACATCTTTAGAAATTAAAAAAAAGAGAATAGAAGGAGTGTCAATGGACTCATGAAGTTTGTTTTTTGTTTTTCTTCTCCTGAATAATCTTTGTACTTGATAAGCCAAATAAAAATGTTTTGAATTTTGTAATCTAGTTTTGAAAAATGGTGCTTTTTTTTAATCTACTATTCTTGAAGTGTATAGCCTTCTTTGTGTTGCGAGTGTGTCGTGCTCTGTGATTAATTTGCTTTGTACAAACCTACGTTTGCATTTTTGTCAGTATTCTTCTAAATAAACCCTGAAATGAACTCCACCTGCTGCTGTGAGTCAGCCGTATGCATCATTCAAAGAAACTGGTTGAATTAAAAATAGAAGGGCCTACTGGATGTCTTTATCTCGCAGATAGGTACAATTAAGTTTATACATTAACCCTAAACTGTGTCTGCCCTTTGGTCAAACTCTTGGCATTGTAGTGGCTCAATTACACCACCTGGTGGAGCTGTGATACACTTAACTGCAGGACTCTGCTACCCACCTTAGGGAGCAATGTCTTGGCGCCACATGGACACATTTTGAAGATAAATGCCTTCAATTATAACCTCGAAGTCAAAAATTCAGCTTAAATAACGCTCATAAGATTTGACAAAGTAGCACAATATTTTGCACGGTGACTTTTAATAAAAATGTCTATTAGTAAAACTTGAGATCAGATAGCTGTTGAAATTTATTCTGCTGTTTCCCAAGCGTCCAGGCTGTAATACACGGATACACAAACTTTAGTAAAGAGCAATAGCACCACCTGGCTGCAGTTCAAGGACACGCACATAAATTGTTGGAAACTTGGCCCCATGCACAGACAGTATTCCAGCAAAACAACATAAATCAAAGAAAAAGTTCAGTGTGGTTCAGGGAAAAAATGCCTCAACAGCATCTTTGAAAGGAAAAGTAAAAATCTGAGACACGGATCAGCGGCTGCAGTAACCTGAAGCCTAGCAAAGAAAACACCACTTTTTCTTTGTCCATAACATTTATTTTTCTAGACAGATTCTATTTTTTCTCCATCTGCTTGCTACTAAACTTCTGTGTAAACTGTTGATTGTGCAGGTCACACCTTTGCAGCAAATATGCTCTGATAATTGTAATTTTATTCTTTTAAACACCTGCACACTTTAATCATAACGGCTTTAAAATCTCTATGTTTGATAGTTTGAAATAGAGCAGAAGAAGTGACTTTAACTGAGTGCAGAAGTCACCACAAGATGTCAGCAGATTATGCACAAATTGTATTTTTATTGGGTAAAACAGTAAACTCATCTTCTCAGAGGGATATCCATTATATTAGGTTACTCTAGATGCTGTAGCTGGTAAATATGAAGGAAATTCTGCTTTATATGTACTTATCTTTTATTCCTGTGTCATGACAAATTGATCTGTGAAAGTTTGATAAGTCTAAAAAGTTAAAGATTTAACTTAGAGATCCTGTAAGGTGTTTTTAACATTTATAAAACAGACTAAAAAGTTATTTTGATGCCTTTAAATTACTTATACAAGCAAAACACTATCATTAAAGGGTTGAATGACAATAATAATAATGATAATAATAATAATAATAATACATTTATTTATAAGTGCCTTTCTGAACACTCAAGGACACCTTTCAGAGTAAGAGCAGCAACATAAAACAGCAAGATAAGAGCAACAGAGAAAATAAAAAAAGAAAATATATATGTATAAATAAAATGGACAAAAATATGACAAGGTAAAAGCCGAATCTAAACATAATACATGTTTGTTCTACAGGATTGGCAAAAGTAAGACTAACTAAAAGTTCCTTACAGGAGCTTTAAAGTACAAAGAAATTAAATACTAAAGCATCTGAAAGTTTAACAGCAGTTTGAGGATAAATGAACCTTCTAACAGGCCTGAATGTCAAACAAATGTCTCATAGTCTATGTTTACATGGTGTTAAAAAAAAAATGCGAATCCACATTAAACTGTATTAAATAAATAAAAGTGCAGAACATTTTATTTACTAATTTGTTTTTCTGGGCATTTTAGCCTTCATTGAAAGGACAGCTGCAGAGAAGAACAGAGCAGGAGACACATGCAGTAAAGGACTGTGGACTAAAGCTGTGACTAGGACTATGAACCTCTGCACACTAAGTTGCTGTACATGGAGCGCATGCTTACAGCGCGCGTAACTGGCAGCCAAAATTTTATAAATTTTTGAGTGTTTTTTAACTTTTAGACAAGGGACTGGGAGATTAGTAACTTCAGAATATCTCTGGTTTAAAGCGTGTTAGAACTGACACAAAGCTGCTGAGCTGTCAGTCGGTGAATAACGATGAGAGGATAAAAACCATTCAGGACATCATTACGTTAAAATCCACTCGGCGGTGACTTGAACGCGTGCTTCTTTTTTTCAAATTTGTCAAACACAGAGTATTTCTGTTGTCGGTTGTTGATTGAATGACTGTATTTGTTATCACATGGATTTCTGATTCTACCACACAGATGAGGAAACATCTCTCCTCTGTATCTGCAGCTCGAAGCTTCCAATGCTCGGCAAACTTGACACTAATCTTCTCTGGTGTTTCCTCTCAGAAGTTGGCACCAGAGTGGATTATTGAAATAGGATTCTGCCTTTGATCAAAAAGAAGTTTATAGATGTCTTATACTTTTCATCAGAAATAAAGTTTGTCGCTGCCAGCTCTTAAACCTACAGAGCTACAGAGTGCACATGATGTTTAACTACGAGACAATGGCTGTGTTTCCTGACAGTTATAATTGAATATTCCTAGAGAGATCAATCCCAATCTGCTGATTTCACCTCCTTTTTTTAAAGACAACATATAGTCCTGATTTCATGAGCAGTTTAATTCCTTGGTGTTTGAAGTACATCCTGCAAAATCAGACTCGTGCATCTTAAGTTTCATGCTAATTCGATGTCACTTCTCCGCAACATGACTCAGAGTATCTCCAGGCATTTCTACGGATAACACCAGCAGCCATGAAAGACAAACAGGGACCCTTTTTTAGCTGCCTACCAGACGCCAAGGTGCAGTCACCATCAGCTCCCGTACTACCATCTGTGCACACACTCGCACGCGCTCGTGTTCTCCTGCACCACATTATGCAGGGAGGCAGAATGCACATGCGTCACACCCTACATAACCTGTATAATACCAGCCTATTTTACACAACATGTTCTCATAGCTGCTGAACATGCAGACGGGGGATTACGCTCTCCTGCACAGGTTTGTTGGCTAAATTAGCTCCTCCTAACTTCATCAGTGCTGACACAAAAGAAAGGCCAGATGATGCTGCTCTGCTTTAAGTCCCTGGGCATACAGATAACATATTGGGCATGTCAAGAAAACTCCGGAGGCCTATAATAGCCTCGCAGCTCCATTTCAAACGTGGTTAACCTTACGGGTTATTTATCACTGGGAGGGTCACAGGGGGGCACTTAGTATTTACTGCAGGACATGCAGGATGGGGGGAGAGTTGAGAGGAAGCCACCCTCATCAACATCCGCTGGGTGCTTTAGCTGCTGCACACATTCATCAACACTTTTTAACCACAAGATAAAGACATTTCACTGACATCTCTGACTCTGCGTTGCAAAACAAGAGCCGAATATATGTTCATGTCTGCGGCTAAGTGCTTTCTTTGTATCCAAGGAACATCAGCGTCATTTCCATAAGTCTAGGGTTGGGAATTTCTTGGCTCAGGCAGTAATAGTCATGAAGAAGCACATACAATGAGCCGCAGCCAGCTGATGGCTCCCTGAATGGACCATGAGAGGACTTCAGAAGGAGCTGCAGCCCTCCTCTCTTCTTTTCCTTTAGATTTCTTGCCTTTTTATCCGGGGTGTCTGTCTCCCAGAACAAACGCTGGAGCCTTCAGATGTCGCTAAACGATGGAGAAAATGGGCGAGCCCAGTTCATTCAGAGCTGATTTCATCACGCCCATAAATCTCAGAGAAATCAAAGCCCATCTTATGCCTGCCCCTCTCCTCCTTCTTTGTCTTGCTAATACACATTAGCATGCGGCTGGCTGCCCACTTTGACGGCAACCCGGATAGGATCTGGGCAAAGTTGCAAATGTGGAACCTAGGGGCACCTTTGACCCTTGACCCCTGCAGTTAAATCTTACCACTAGTGTCTGTCTCAGACCCCTGCCATGCCGAGGAATCTCTCAGCTCCATTTCCTGCCTGAAACTCACAGGAAGACAAGAAGATGTATAGGATGCAGATGACTGGGAGATTAGAGACTAGAATAGTTGCTCTTCTCTTGAAAAAAGTATCCTGAGCACACACTCACAAACCTGCCAGTAAATACTTCATAAACACAGAGAGAACATCTCTTTTCAAATTATTAGAATAAAGGTCCTTTCACACCGGGAGCGTTTTTTTTTTAATGCAATTATTTCGGACCTCAATATTTTTTTTTCGAAACTGTATCCTGTCAATACAAGTGTTCACATCAGCCACGTTTTACCATCCTACAATATTGCGGCATTTATTTTTTCATTTCCGGGTCGATTTTTCTAAAATTTTGCAGTGTGCGTCCACTTCTGACCAATCAGATTGCGTGTTGTTGCAACGTCAGATTCATTGGTGTATCCAACATGGCCGACCGGCTGATTATTTAAGTGTCGGAGAACAGAGTTTTTTTTTATAAAAGACACAAATATTATCAAGATAACGACCTGAAGGACAACTTGTGGAGAGTCATAGCGTTGGATTTCTCATATGACGATGGTTTGTGTGCTTTAACAGTTTGCTAAACGTCTTTGTTTTAACTTTCATCTGTGCTAAGTAACTTTAGCTCGTAAGCTAACCTGTTCAGATACAACATACCATATGTATTTTCACTGTCTCAAACTCAATCACGTTGCTGTCACAGCACCATTAGGTCTCGGTTGTTACCTTACCTTTATAGATTATAGTTTAATGTGTTTATCTGGTACTGACCCCGACTCAGTACATGCTATCATGACAGACAGACATCTCAACACTAGTGTCTAATCAGAACTGAAAAACACTCAGTCTGCTGTTGTGTCCTTCTTGATAAAGTTGAATTACTCATCCTTCTCTTTGGCATTGTTTAAACCTCAAATACATGTTGTTCTCTACCTTGAAATTCATTATATCCCCTGTCCTCAAATAGCTCTACACTTTCATAGATCTGATAAACACACACTGGGAGGAAAAAAAGCAAAACATTTACTTTTATTTCAATACAGGCTGTAACAATATCAGATCTTCCACCTTATGATTATTGTAGTAGTTGTAAAAAAGTTCCAATCAAAA